TGATGAAGATGATGACGACGATGATGATGAAGATGATGACGACGATGATGATATTATCAGAGCAAAAGTAGAAAGAACATTTCTAGAAGTCCCAAACAGCGCTGCTGCATCAATTATGCAACTAACTTGCATTATACAATATTTCGCACTACTACTAGTTACCGCTACTACTACTGTTACTACACTTACTACTTAAACCACTACTACTATCTTACTACTACTACTACTACTACTATTTCTACCAGTACTACTACTACCGCTGCTACTGTTGTTGCTGCTACTACTGCAACTTTTTCTACCATTACTACCGCGATTAATTTACTATCGTGGCTGATTTACTATTATGGCTACAACGAGAGCTTATTGTTACTAATACTTTTACTACTACGATAACTTTTACTACTACTACTAGTAGTGTGGCTGCTGTCGCCGCTACTACTACTTCTGTTTAAATGTTTAATTTTTGGTATTTTTTATCGTAAAACTATTGTTTTTTTTTCCACTGAATTTTTCGCACTGAATTAATTGTCAGCTTGTTAGCGCCAGTTGATGATATAAAAATACTTTTTTATAAGACTCATTTTATTTTATTACTTTCCATGGCGTTACTAATACTACTTTTGCCATTGTTATTATTACTTTTGATAGTATTTTTATTGTTGTTGTTGCAGCCTAAACAAGAGTTGATGTTTTAAATTTAGATCTTCACAAAACGTTCGTCACAGGTTTGTAATCATAAACGCGCATACATTAAGTTGGTTCGTTTGTATGTATGTGTGTGTGTATGTGTGTGTGTGAATGTGTGTGTTTGTCGTAATAATACATTGGTGTATTTTTGTATAATTGTGTATATCTCTGTATGTGCATGAGTGTGTGTGTGTGTTCGTGTGTGTGTGTGTGTGTTATTGTGTGTATGCGTGTATGTGTTATTGTGTGTTCGTGTGTGTGTGTGTGCGTGTGTGTGTGTATGTGTGTGTGTGTGTATGTGTGTGTGTGTATTTATAAATACGAAATTTTGTAAATACGAAATTATAAATTCAAAATATATATTTTTCATCGTGTATAATGAGAAGATGATATTTTTAAAAAAAGGTTGATGATGTTGATTTTAAAGGTCTGGTAGATGATAAAAGTTATTGTTGATTGCTCTGTAATGATGATAGTGTGATGATATTATTTGGGTATCGCATAAATGATATGGATGATGATATGATAGGATGATTTTGACGAATGATGATTAAAGCTAAAACGATACACACTCACATAGATCTATTCATTCATTCACTCACTCACATACACATAAAAGCGCGTACACACACACACACACACACACACACACACACACTTGTGTACATTCACGCACAGTTTATATACGACCCATTCAGAAGATTAAAAGTGAATTGAAAAAATCTTGAACGATGCAGAGTCTTCTGTTTTTATGCATTTCCGGCATTGTCGCAAGCAAAATGATTGCTAGTACAATTACCGTCTTCTATTCTTCACGTAGGTAAGGTACTGTAGTCATGGGTGATGATGAAGATGATGAAGATGATGATGATGATGATGATGGTGATGATGATGATGATGATGATGATGGGGATGGGAAGCTGGAGTGGAAATCATCGACACCATCATCGTCATCGTCGTCGTCGCTGTAGATAAATAAATACGTCTTCTTTATGCATATTAATTGGTGCTTTTAATTCTTTGCAATGAAGGATGGCCCAGGATTAGAGGCGATTTATGGCTTCAGCTGCTTGGCTACCGGCGGATAATGATGATGATTATGATGATGAGAATGAGGAAGATGATGACGATGACGATAATGACGAAGATGAGAGATGATGACGATGATGATAGTGCTGAATATGATGATGGCGAGGATGATAGTGATAAATATGATGATGACGATGATGATAGTGATAAAGGTGACGAGATTTTGGCCGTCATAACGATGATGAAGATGATAATGTTGATAATAAATAAATAAATATAAATATAAACAAATAATGGGCTTGAACGTAAGTTATATATGCCCATATCAAAATAGCATTAAAAGACAACAAAAAACAATTAAATAATAATGAAGACGATGAGGATTCTGGATGTATGAGTAGATTGAAATTATTAACGATGATGATATGATGGCTGTGCCAGGCTGTGCTTTCGCTGGTTGAGAGCTAAACTTGATGCGACAAACTGTGATGACATTGTTAACGATGTTATCAAACGCGTTGGTGATAATGGGAATGATGATAAAGTCCACTATGATGATGACGAAGATGATGAGAATTATTATGACGATAATAATGATGACAGTGCTAATGTAGGATAACAATGCTAGAATCGAAATCATAATATTAGCGTCGTTATACTAACTTTTAACTTCAAAGATTTTCTAAAAAACCAGCGCGATCAAACATGCTGTTGTTAACAGGGTGATGATGGTAGAAGTATGATGGAAATCTTTTGTTGAAGATAATGTTATAAAATGTTAATGGTAGTAAATGTAATGATAATACTACCAAAAAGGATAATAATAATGATGACGATGATGATGCTCAGGCTGATAACGATGGTGATAATCACAATAATGGTAGTGATGACGATGATGATGAAAATGATGATGACGACGACGACGACGATGATGATGATGATGCTATCGGCAGTAGCATTCGCAGACTAAGTTGTGCATAAAATAGTTATTTACTTTTCTCAAATCGTCCATATGCAATATGGCTCACAAAAAATCCTATGCCATATATGCTAATAATATGCGTATGTATATGTGTGTGTGTGTGTGTGGTGTGTGTGTGTGTGGTGTATGTGTGTATTGTGTATTTGTATATATATATATATATATATATATGTATATACAATATACACAAATAATTATAGAATTGTGTACATATATTTCTGTAATAGAATAATTTTTTCAACTGAATTTAATTCATGGGTAGGAAGTTTTTTTTAAAACAATGCACATTGAAATGCGCGCATGTGTGCGGTCATGCATATGTGCATTCATGCATGTAAACAAACAAACAAACGGTCAAAAATGTATACGTGTGTGCGTGTATGTATGTGCGTGTGTGTGTGTGTGTGTGTGTGCGCGCGCGCGTGTGTGTGTGTGTGTGCCTCCAATGATGTCATAAACAATTCAAATTAACGTCACGTTGACGGATTCCTGAAGTTGTTCTCTTTCGTGCTGGTTCGTTCGCGCTGGTTCGTTCGTGTTTGCAACGCATTCGTTCGTTTCATCGAATGTTTTATTTTACTGGTTTGTTCATCTATTATTTTGTTCAATTGGTTGTTTTTTTGGGTGTTCGTTTGTTTGTTGGCATATTTTTAAAGTTTAAAATTGATATGTATGAAAAAAATGCAATAGTTCATCATGAAACAAAAATTTTTAAGATCAAGCAATTAAATAGTTGTAACGTCAACAATAATAATTACGACAATTAAAACCATTAAATGTTTAGTTGCTAGTTAAAAAGTTTGATGATGTTAACATCATTAAACATTAACCAAATGGCGGTATAACTAACAACCCTAAATAGCTCACAATAAAAATAGCATAAAAAAACATTTAAAAAAAAGCCAAGCAATAACGCAAACAATAAAAATAACACTTACATTAAAATAACACTAACAATAAAATAACACTAACAATAAAAATGACATTAACGATAAAAATGACATTAACGATGAAAGTAACGCTGGGAATCTTGAGAACATCAACACTTCAGACGCTCCAACAGCCATACAATCTGCCCTCTGAAAACATCAGAACACCACGCAACTTATGTCACGCCATCTTCCTCCTCTGCCTACATACCGTTACTGAATTTGACTCACGTACAAACGCACATACACATGCATGCACATAGGCAAACACACACATACGCAAACAAACAGACATGCACACACGCGCATGTGCAATCACAAACAGACATACACACTCATGTACACACCCGCATAGAGACACATACACAGTAATGTACGCGCACACAAATATCCATACTCATTCATTAGAATAAAATAGAAATACAAATGCATACATTAAAACTATAAAAAATATATACAGAAACACATACATTCCAGCAAAACCCATAAATACAAACATATTAACCGTAAACAGTAACTACAGAAATTCATTTCAAGTTGAATCGTTGCAAATTAACAAATAAAACGGTCATACACACAAAAGCAAGCACACATATGATCCCACATAAACGTAGGTTTAAGTAATACAGTCCTACAAACCCACACACACACACAGACACACATACACACACACAGATACACAATACACAAACACACACGAGCGCGCCGACACATATAACCAAATATTTTTTATACATTCCGTTCATATTTTTCCTTCCATCATAAAATCCATTTATCCAGCGTATTAAGTACGCATCGAAGGAAGGAACGAGAGAAGGAATGAAAGGAGGAGAGGAGAGAAAAAAGATTAACGATCCGGCCTGGCAAACTTTGACTTTGCCCTCTCTTCCGCTGACTGACGGATGACTAATGTTCTTGAGCCATATTTATTCAGACGAATAATTCGTCAAAATTTATAATTCGTGTTTTACTCTAAAGGAAAGAACGAGAGAAGGAATGTCCAATGTCTCTAGAAGTGGTAGCAGCAGCATTAGTAGTAGTAGTAGTAGTAGTAGTAGTAGTAGTAGCAGTAGTAGCAGTAGTAGTAGTAGTAGCAGTAGTAGCAGTAGTAGTAGTAGTAGTAGTAGTAGTAGTAGTGTAGTAGTAGTAGTAGTAGTAGTAACAGTAGTAATTGTAGTAGTAGTAGTTGTAGTTGTAGTGGGAGTAGAAGTAATAGTGTTAGTAGTGTATTTGTAGTAGCATTACAAATTGGGTAGAAATTAAACAATTGAATAGGATTAATAAAAATTATTATATTTAAAGTGAAAAAATGAGTTAGAAAATATAATGAAATTAGGAGCTCATTAAAATATGCCAAAAATATTGGAAATCAATTGACTTAAACTTATTAAATTAATGGAGAACGAAAGAATGAACGAATGGATGAAAAAACGAAATAAAAAAATACCAGAAAGAAACCTGTTTAGAACATTATGTAAGTCAGTCGAGGAGCCCAGAGGGACAATAACGAGCTAGCGTGTTTGTGTTTTTGTATGTGTGTTTGTGTGTGTATGTGTGTGTGTGTGTGTGGTTAGGTACGTGAATGTGTACAAGCATGATGTGTGCGTGTAGATTTATGGGTGTGTTTGTGCTGATGTCTTTAGCTATGTTTTTGACTGTTCTCAGTTTCATGTGCATGTTTGTTTGTGTGTTTGTTTGTTTGTGTGTATTTTTAGGAGTGTACTTGTGTGTCAATTGGCCTGTATGTTTAACTTTAAATAATTTTTTTTTGAGGGGTTTTATGTAAAAGAAATTTGTTTCTGCTCGTCTGCATGCTTTCGTAGTTCTGTTGATGCTCGCTTGATAGGACGTGTAATACCGACACTTAGAACTTATTGTATTGTTTCATTTTTACATTCGAATCGTTTTTTAATGACGTCATAACAGGGGTATAACGTCATCATCATCGTCGTCGTCATCATCATCATCATCGTCGTCGTCATTTTATTGTCAACATCATTATAGCTAATGTCACTAGCATTATTATGGTTGGCATCGTCGTCATCAACCTCGCTATTATTTATTTATATAATAATTATGTTATAATTATTATTATTATTATTATTATTATCGGTTTCTTCATCTCTTCAGCATCACCAGCATCACCATTAGCAACAACCATCACATCATCGTTGCATTTGCATAAGGAGATCTTATCGTTCGAAACCCTCTATTTCATTATCTCTATATTACATCATAAATGTGTGTGCATGTATGTATGTATGTGTGCGTGTGTATGTGTGTGTACGTATCTGTGTAGTATTCGTTTATGTGTGTGTACGTGCATTATCAGTTAATGTGTGTTTGTGTGTGTGTTTATGTGTGTGTGTTGTGGGTTTGTTTGTGTGTGTGTGTTTGTGTGTGTGTGTATGTTGTGTGTGTGTGTGGTGTGTGTGTGTACGTGTTATATGTTATGCAAAGTTTAGTAAATTTTATCTATGAGTAACTCCCTACTTAATGTTTTGTATGAAAAACATTTTTTTTATATAAAATTTTCATTTTTTGTTGTTGAATATACCTACCGGGTCTGTGTTTTCCTTCGTAATTCTGGTTTATGATGTCTGCGTCTATCTGTCAATATTGCTACCATTTGTTTTTGGTTCGCTCTGTTTTGAAGAAATTCTTTTTGCGAATAATTTTTTAAATAAAATACAAAAGAAATGTTTTAAACATTTGTACATAAATTAAAAAAAATGTCAAAACATGTTTTAGATGCAGAGGAAAACGAAGAAAAAACTAGATCATTGTTACCGGATCAACACTGAAATGATTGTGATACAAATATGGAAGCATGAGTTCAAATTTTAATGGCGTTTTTATCAGGCTCGTCGTTATGGCAACAATAATGTTTGTTTGTCTTCAATTCGCATTCATTAAATTAACATTGTCGATATTTACACTAGCCATCTCGATAACCTTTATAACGAATTTTACAAATTTTTAAGATTAGATTTTCTAATTTTCTCCCAAAATCATCAAATCAGGTTCATTGAAATTTCATTGTTTGTCATTATTATCGTCGTCATCATCTCATTTTTATATTTTTAATCATCATCAGTTTCATAAACGCCATCATCATTATGATAATACAATTGCTCACTACCGTCGCAACGTATCGTACCATCATCCAACCACCATCATGATCACAACTACCATCATCATCCAACCACCATCATAATCCAGCCACCATCATCATCACAACCACCATCATGATCCAGCCACCATCATCATCACAACCACCATCATTATCCAACCATCATCATCATTCAGCCACCATCATTATCACAACCATCATCATCATCCAACCGTCATCATCATCATCATCCAACCACCATCATCATCACAACCACCATCATCATCACAACCACCATCATCATCACAACCACCATCATCATCACAACCCTCATCATCATCACCACCATCTTTCTTCTTCTCGTCCTCGCCATCATCATTATCTTCTTCTGGTCTATGAGCATTTATCTTTCCATAATTTAAAAACACGATCGAGCCGTAGGTCACGTGGTGTTCGGAATTTCTCGCTCCAATGCGCACGCACATAAGAGGGGTTACTTCGCTTTAAGTGTCAAAAATTACTTATTATACTATTTGTACAGTTACTTCTGCTACTATTACTACTACTACTACTGCTGCTGCTGCTGCTGCTGCTGCTGCTTCGGTTCATACGCTGCTGCTGCCGCTACTTTAACCACTACTACCATTACTATTACCACTACTACCATTCTTACTAATACTTCTGCGTTTCTGTCATTACTGTGTTGCTGTTACAATTACCGAGTCTATTACTGCTGCTGAGGCTGATGAGGCTACTGCTGATGCTGCTGTTGTCGCTGACGTGAAATAGAGATTTTTTATTTTACAGAAAAAATTTCTCTCTTTCTCTCTCGATTTCTGTCTCAATTGGGTCGGCTTCATTCATAAGGAAGAAATGAAAAAAAAATGCAGTTTTTTGGCAAACTTTGAAAAATGCAGCAAAAGTAGGAATAGTATATGAAAAAATACTACTGCCACTATAAATTTTAAATATGATAGTAATAATTATAACAAAAATGATGAATTATAATAAATAAAACTATAAATATTAATAATAAAAATAATAATATCCCATCGGCAAAACTTTTGTTTTGCTTGACGTCACGCTCCATTAAGCAGGGTGCATCACTGTGACGCCATTGTCCATTTGCAGTCATGCGTGGCTGTGGCTGGTGGCGGCTTCGTTTGTAGTTGTGGTAATTGTGATAAGTGTGGTAGTTGTAGTAGCTGCGTAGTAGCCATAGAAGTTGATGCACTTAAAAATAACGTTGTTTCGAAAAATGTTTGTGATGATGTTGCCGGTGATGATGATGACGATGACGATATTGCCGATGATGATGATGACGATGTTGCCGATAATGATGATGGTGATGGATGATGATGATAATGATGATGATGATGATGCATAGAAACAATGACTCTGATGACGTTAATGATGATGGTGATGCATGAATGATGACAATTTTAATGATGACGTCATTTTAATGATGACGTCATGATGACTCTGACGGTGTAATTGCATCGATCGTGAACATTTTGTTTGTAATTAATAATAAATGACGATTATGTAGAGTTAACTATTTGAATATTTTAAACTAAACATAGTTGGGTCCTTCTTACTGACCTGACTTTTATTAAACAACACCCAATATTTTAAACATTTTTATTGGACAATTCGCAGTATTTTAGACAACAAAATTTTGAATTACAAACCAAATTCATATTTGCAATTCTAACCGTACAAAATAACAACAACACAACAATTTTTAAAAACCAGCAGCCTCAGCTACAGCGACGACGACTACAACGACGACAACAACTTCGTCAACAACAACAACAACCTTCAAATCCAACCTGACGGACTACTGCCCTTACGACTACTTCACAGCAACCTGTCCGGAAGACAGTCTGATCATTATGACGGAAGCGAACTACGGAAGAATGCGACAGGGACTCTGCATCAACGAGCACAGCATCGGCTGCACAGCGGACATCATCAATTACATGGATTCCATCTGTTCCGGCAAACCCAAATGTCAAGTGGGAGTCTCGGATCATTCCATGCACCGTCTGCAGACTTGCGCTAAGGATATGCTAAGCTACTTGCAGGCTTCCTATATTTGTGTTTATGGTTGGTGGACAGTTTGTTGTTGTTGTTGTTGTTGTTGGCGGTGTCGTCGTATTCGAATTGGTGTTTTTGATTTTGTTGTTTTGCAGTTTGGTTGTTGTTGTTTTGTAGTTTGGTTGTTGTTGTTGTTGTTTTGGAGATTTTTAATTGCCGGTGTTTTACTTAATAAATGAAACAAAATTTTCAGTACAATTAATTCTGTTTTTCTAATTAAATATTTTTCATGAATTACTTTTAATCGTATATTATAATAAAGCGCCAGAAAACAGTGACAAAACTTGTTTCAGTCCTCTCTCGCCAACTTTCACCACCCCCACAACTTCATCCAGCAACACACTCACTTCGAACTTCCAACCCACCTTCACGATTGAAGGCTACCTGGCTTCCTACTACACCCACAAAATGGGGCAGGGCACCGAGGCCTGTCCCTGGAAGATTGAGGTCAAACCAGGTCAACAAATTCAGCTGGTTCTTCTTGATTTTTCCATCGCCAATCGCTACAAAACAGATATGCGTGAGGTGAACATAAACAACAACAACCACAACAACCATCATCATCATCTCCAACACTTAAGCAGCAACAACATCAACAACATCGATGACAACAATCATGATCACAACCAGCGTCATCAACATCCAATCGTAAGCGACTACTGCCATGTTTACGCTCACGTAGTTGAACCCGAAATAACGAGCGGCGCCGACCGGAAATGGAACGTCTGTGCCGGAAGTAGTCGTTCCAGTGTTGTTTACACGTCACGCACGAATCGAGTTTTAGTGGAAGTATCGGAATATGTGGTGGTTGAGAGGCAGATCAACTTTATGATCAAGTACAAAAGTACGTCTCTGTCTGCGTCTGTGCCTGCTTGAATGTGTGTGTTTGTGTCTGTGTTTGTATGTTTGCGTTTGCTTGAATTTGTCTTTTTTCCTCATATGTTTGTGTTTTTATTTTTGTTTTCATTGAAATATATAATTTTGTATGTTTATGTGCGCTTGCATGCATTGTATAACTATGTGTGTTGTTTTGTAATAAAGTAATGCCCTATGTGTCTGTATGTTTGCATTGCTCCGTGTTTGTCTTCAACGTGCATACAATTACATTCGTGCTTTCAACGTATTTATAATGCATTCGTATTTTTATTTCCAAGTAGCTTTCTTTCATATTTTTGCAAGTTTTTCACAAAATGATGCGAAAGTAAAAAAAAATTGTAAAAGTTGGCCTTAAAAAATTATTTCAAAACTTGTTGAGAGACACATTCCAATGCATTCCAGCACACACAACAAGCACGTTCAAGCACAGTCATGCAATCCTGCCTACATCAGAAACAACCATGCACATCATTGCAACACATACGCACACACAGAAACAAATAAAAATGTATCTAATGACAGCAGTGCGTACAAATATACTTAGCTACGAGGCAGCTTTAAACCCACACACGAATATACACAAACTTACACACACACACACACACACACACACAGAGAGAGAGAGAAAGAGAGAGAGACATGCGTATGCTCAAACGTACATGAAAAGCGAAGACATGCTAGAAATTGAAAGTACCAAGTTATAATAACAAGAGTTGAGTGAAGATCAAAAGATCTCGTTACGTTACAGTGCCGAGAAGATGTCACTGGTCGTCATCATCGTCGTCATCATCGTTTTTGTCATCCACATTATCGTCTTCGTTCTCACCATCATAAGTTTTCAACGTCATCATTTCATCATCATTACTCTATCATCAACATTTTGAGTTCAGCAGGTTAGCTTGAAATTGTTGGTTTGAGAAACAACTGAGTTGTGTGCTGACCGATTTAAAAAACATTCATTGCTGGGTTTTAACGGGCCAAAAAACTAAAAAGTATACAAAAAAAATGATTGTGTACATCGCTTGCGTTCTCGCTCATATTTGATACTCCAAGAAAAAAATATGCAGATGTATGTAAGGGTGAATTTTTAGATTGTAGCATTGCAATGCTACCGACATTGGTTGTGTTATCAATCTAACGACATCCAATTATCACCAGAGTATCATCACCATTTTCATCATCACCTTACTCACCATCAGAGTATCACCACCATATTCATCATTAGAGTATCATCACCATCTCCATCATCATCATCAGAGTACCATTAGAGTATCATCATCATCTCCATCATCATCATCAGAGTATCATTAGAGTATCATCTCCATCATCATCAGAGTTTCATCAGTCATTATTAATTCATTCATTTATTGAAAGAGCACGAGTCCTTGTTAAAATTATGGTGGGCGGTTATGTACCGCATCACCTCCTTGTTTCAGCTCTTAATGGTAGTTATATAGTGCCTGCTATTTATCGAGAGCTGGTGATGATGAAGATTGTGCCGATGGTGTTTGTGACGATGACGGTGATGATGATGGTATGGTGATGATGATTGGGACGATGTTGGTGATGATGATGATGATGGTGACGATGATGGTGATGGTGAAAATGATCGTTAAAATTGTATAGATTGGATTTTGTATGATGAGCGTGCGTGTATGAAGTGTGTGAAACGTGGTGTGTGTATGCGTTTAAGTGTGTGTGTGGCGTGTGTATGTATGTGGTGTGGCTGTGTGTGGTGTGTGACGGGGAAGCGTGTTTGTTTACGTTTTCTGAACATTTTATCGTTTCATAATTTCACCTGAGCACCTGCTCTCTTGTATAAATTTATGAGTCTATGTTTGTTTCTATTTTTGTTCATGTATCTATGTTTGTTTTTTATGTTCATTTATCTATGTTGGTTTTGTTTATATTCATCTATCTGTGTTTGTTTTTTTTTTGTTTATATATCTGTGTTTGTACAATTTTAAGCCGATATTTTTTTTGTTTGCATATTTTGTGTTTGTGTGTCCGAATGTGAAAAAACATGTTTGAGTTTACGAGTATGTTTAAATTTTCAGTGTTAAACATGTTCATGTTTTGTTTATACAACTTCGCGCGCTGTTTTATAATGAGTGTTGGTTGGGCTTTCCTGTTCTGGATGCACGTGCACATGACGTTCTAAAAATTTTTGCATGTATACAGGTTTGACTGTGTGCGCGTGTGTGCGTGCGTGTGTGTGTGCGTGGGTGTGTGCGTGTGTGTGTTGTATGTGGGAGTGTGACTTACTGGCTAATTGGCAACACCATACCGGTGAACTTTTTTTTACCTTCCTTGCGGCTTCACTATATTAATTGCATTGCCATTCTTTCCTCGCTGCTGCAGTTTCTGTCTATCTGTTATTTTTGTTGCAATTATTGTTGTTGTTGTTGTTGTTGTTGTTATAACGTATGTTGTTAATAATAATAATAATAACAATAATGATAATATTAAAAATTTTCATCTTTGTCATTATCATCGTCAACATTTATTATCACCATTATCATCGTCAGTTTTAAAGAGTTACTTCAAATTTTTTACTCTCGGACTCATCTCTACCATCATCACCCTCTCCATTTCCCCCATCATCATCACCCTCTCCATCTCCCCCATCATCATCACCCTCTCCATTTCCCCCATCATCATCACCCTCTCCATCTCCCCCATCATCATCACCCTCTCCATCTCCCCCATCATCATCATCGTCTTCATCTTCGAACATCATCTTTAAATCACAATCACAGTAGCAGCAGAACAAGAAAAAAAAGAAAACGAAGGTGGTGAGGTGATCCATTAATCGAAAGGCAAATAATTCTAAGTCTGCTTAGCACTAATCCCATCATACCTACATTCATACATACATACACAGCAACCAACCAAACACTTTTCAATATGCAATATTACGCTTGTATATAAAGAGATTACACAAACACATACATACCCACTAATTTTTAAGTACAGAAATTTTTGCATGCAGTTACATCGCCTGTATCAAATAACTCTCCCAAAAAAACCGACTTGTGTGGTGTGAACAAATGATACTGGTAACCTGCTTTATGCTATGCAACTTGCATAAGAACTGACAGCCATCTTATTCACACGCACACACGCTTGCATACAAAAACTCTTGTGTACTTACACATACACACACACACAAGCCACAAACCGAATGTATGATTTTTTTCCAAACACGTTGAAATGTGGACACCTCATTTGAAGAACCGGTCCGAAGTTTGCTGACGAGATTTGTGAGGCGGAGCTTCCTAATGTGATTTAGCGTGTATTTTGTGGTGTGCTACGTTCACACACCCATTTAACGCTCATTTCAACACACACACACGGACACATTTCAACACACACACGCACGCACGCGCGCTAACTATGTGCAGTGAAATACTTTTGATTATTATTATGAACATAAAAGTTAATAGGATATAACTCCAGTTACAAAATCTTGTTCAGATCATTATAACACAGAAGAAAACGTTAATCAATCATTAGACTTAATTTATTTAGTTCAAAATAACGAATTACACCCACCTATTTAGAAAGTTTAACATCTATTAATTAATCCAGCAAGATCATTTAACCGTGAAACCATCATCTTAGATAGTAATATCATTAATATCATAAATACAATCTTAGATGTACAGATGCAATATGAGATACAAGAATAAAATCATAGATACAAATTCAATGATCATCATTTGACCTTTCATATTCAAGTGAACCACCAACAAACCACCACCTAAACACTCCAACTCAGGTGTGGGATGCGCCAATCCGATTCCTCCAAAGTCTGCCTGGCTGGAAAGGGTAGGTGACCAACTGACCATCAGGTGCAATCACACCCAGCAGCAGTTTGATATGATATGTAAGGGAGACACCTGGACGGGGCAAGTATCTGAATGCAATACAGGTAAGATGTTGTTTGTGTAAGATCTTGCTACTATTTTCTATCGTTTTGGGTTTTTTTTCTAAGTTTTACAACGTTTGTTTCTATGTTTCTCTATTTACCTGGCCATGTTTGTGAAAATATTTCTTAAAAGTTAAGAAAATTTTCACGGCAAATCAATTTTTCATTCTCAAAATAAGGAAGTGCTTGCTTCAAAGCAACCGCGTTCCGTGTTTGAATGTTGTACTCTACGTGTATGCTTGCATGCGGGCAAGCGTAAATGCAACAGCAGATAAATATATATATATTAATTTAAATAATAATATAATAAATAATAATAATAATAATTAATTAAATAATAATTAATATAAATGCAACAGCATATGAAAATATATATTAATTTATCTACTATGTTTGCGTGAGATATAAGTAGATATAGAAGCAAGCATATTGGGGCAATTAATCAGACACAAGACACAAAAACAGATGAGCACATAAACAATTCCTTGCGTCTACATACGGAACAGACGCATTCTCAAATATTCCATTATCGCCAAATAATTTTTATTATTTATTTTAATTTTCACAAAAAATATTCTATTAAAATTATGTTATCAGATTAACTCTATCTTGAAATACGATTAAAAAAGCTAACGTTTTTTACACCAATACATCGATGAATGACATAAATTTGACACATGTAAGACACGCATATGTACAAACAATTAAAACCAATACCTACGATATCATTACTGAATTATTTTTTTCTCTTCAATACAATTTAAAATTAGTTTATTTTATAATGCTTGTACAAGTTTCTAAACTAAAAGTTATCTCTGTGAGATGCACTTTTGTGTGAAGAGAGAGATTCCAAGTGGTGAGCGGATGGTTTCGTTCGCTTGCCTCGAGGAGGATGCATAAATCTCAAATCATTCTCCACTTTCCACTCTTACAAACTTACCCGAAATTTAATTTTATATTTTTGTCTTCATTTTTTTGTTTTTTTTTGTTTCTTTCTTCTTTTTATTGTGTAACTGAATTTTTTGCTACTAACATCGATATGCTTGGCTTATGTTGGATTTTCTTCCTGCAATAATGTGTTGTGGTGGTGTGGTGGTGAAATGGTTTTTTGTCAATTTGAGAAGTTTGTTGATGGTCGGAGATGCAACTGGAGCCAATATTTTAATTTGTTGTTTGAGACTTCAATTTAGCAAATATTAAATAAAATTAAATTAATTATTCTGAAATTTAATATTTTTTAAGTTTTTCAAAGCTAAATGTTTTCTTCTAACAATTAACGGATGAATGATGATTGTCAAATTTAAAAAAATGCTTTTGTTCTTCATTCTTCATACAAATAAAGTCATTTAGCAAGTTTTACACTTTTCATGATCACACACACACACAAACACACACATACACACGCACACACTCATGTTTACACACACACACACACGCACATACACATCTAGTAACAAAGTTTACTATTTATGTACGAACGTAAAACAAATTTATATAAACAACTGAATCTATTGTCGCGAACAACATACATTAAGGTTGCAAATACAAACGCTTTCACCGCTGAATGGAACTTCTGCTCCAAAAACGAACTCACATACTTTAAGCGCCAAAATACAACACGCATACAAAGTACAACACATCTGCATAGAAAACAAATATACAGACTGATGTACATGCAAAAGAGTTACAACAGACTGAAAACAAGCAGTTGATTTATTGACATCTCGTTAAAAACATCGTCCTGGATTGAATCGCCCCGGTTATAAATTGCTGATGAGGAAATTAAATTTCTACTGTCGCCCGCATGCATGCATTTACTGTACAGTACTGGGCAGGTTGAGTCTGCAGATACGGTACACTTGTACTTGGCCAGACCATTCGAAAGTTAAATTTTGAATTAACATTTGAACAAATTCTTGGGTACAAACGTAGGTGAACAGCATTAGATGCTTAGATATCAGTAGAGAGAGATATAAACAACATGCAAATGAACGAACACTAACCAATTGAATACACACACTAAATGACAAATTCCAAACAATCTCCAACATCAGTCTGCAAATTCACACGTATACTTTCACAAAAACACACACTCACATACACACTTACAAACTCACACTTACATACACGCATACAAATACACGCAGTTGAATAAGCTACCAACCATCACGCCAACATATCATACTAAACATAACGACAAAACTAAATTAGTTCAGTAAAATACAAAAAAGATACAGTCTACAGCGACAAACAACAATGATAATACACCAACAACCAAAAGATAACCAACAAACCAACCAGACAGACAGACAAACAGACAGACAAACAAACAACAACAACAACATTGAAGATGACCATGTATTCATATCCGAAGCAATACATTACACAGAATGTCATCACACGACACAATAGGAATTACTGCTTGCATAAATTTTATGCCCCTTCTAAAACGGTCCCAACATGCAAATTCACAAATGCCAACAACATCCAGACATACAAATGTTTGCAGGCAAGCATGTAGGAAAATACAGACATACACACGCACATACACAACGTATAAAATTAAACATTTTAACGTATAAATACATGTTTGATAAACATACAATCAAATATCAAAACAAATATACAATCAAATATCAAATCAAACATACAGTTAAACATACAATCAAACATAAAATCAAATGTACAATCAGACCATCGCGAACGAAATCTATGCCTGTCCGTACATGCATACATAGTTTTATACTTTTAATTTCAATTTTATTTGAAGACAAATTTCCTTTTTGTTTCCACGCTCATTCAGAAATGTGCGCCTGAAAATTTGATGATGCAGTTTCTCTCTCTCTCACTTTCTCTCTTTCTCTCTTTTCTCTCTCTCTCTCTCTCTCTCTCTCTGTGTGTGTGTGTAGTGTGTGTGTGTGTGTGTGCGCGTGTACATTGTATTTTTATGCACTTGTGTATATATTTTGCGTATCATCATTAATTAGTATTCTTTCCCCGTTTCGTTTATTCTATTTTCAATCTTTACATTTTTAGAAGTACATACGCATAATATAGACATGCCAGTGTGTAGTAGTCCTAATAACATAGCAGAGCCAGTTTATTAATTGCACCTAGGCTGACAGATCATGTGTACGTTGTTATTAATATGCGACTGGAGATGACTGTGCGATTGAATGCAATCCATTGGATTGGAGTAGTTTGGCGAGTGAGTGATTGCCAGGTACATTTCTACGATGAGTTATTTTATTGGGAGAGCACTGACATCTCCATCATCGACGTCATTTTCTTTGTTGTGACGTCATCGCAATCTTTATCGTTGTTGTTGTCGCTATTGCTCTGCTTGCGTCACCATCTTCGATAATGTCGTCATCGTCGTCGTCATTACTTCGACAGTTAGATCGTCTGTTTTTCAAATGTAATTGTATTCAAGATCAGCGTTTCAACAGCACATCTCTCTTTTAGCAGCACATCCCTGTTTGAACAAGATGGAGGTCCTGATGAATTGGTCAACTACTTCCGTCCTAGTGACATGCCCATACGTCACATCTTCTTCTTTCTACGTGGCGGCTTGCTTGTTTAAATCTTCTTTATGTGTCTTACTTTCTTCTTCTAAATGCGTGTTTGTTAAATTCTATGATTATTGATCTGTGTGTGTATGTGTGTATGTGTGTATGTGTGTGTGTGTGTGTACGGATAAATGTGCTTGTGTAAGCCTGTGTATGTTTATTTGTCTGATGATTGTACACGTTGTACACGTTTGTTTAAGCGTGTTTTACAAATTTGTATTTCAAGTTATCATGTTTCTTTAATTGTATGTGTGCGGGTATGAGGGGGTGATCTTTGATTTCAACTGTTGCCTAGAAAACAATTGCATCATTCCTCTTTAGCCGATAATAAATAGGCCATCGTCGTTTTTATGAACTCGAATCCGGGGCTCACGATGTCGCGAGACCAAGCAACTTAACCATTACACTATCTTGTCCCTACTTCCTTATGTGTATGTGTGTGTGTGTGTGTGTGTGTTTACATGTAAAGGCACGTGACTTCTGTTTATATTTGCACGCACTCAAATGTTATTTGTTTGTCTGGACTTAAATTTTAAATGCGTGTGTACAACGTGTGTAGAGAGCGCAGGGTTGTACAAACAATAATGCTCCTACACGTTCGTAAACAGTTTGAGTACTTTTTTATGGCCCTGCTTGCCTGGCTGTCCGGTTGGTTGGTTGGTTAGTAGGCTGGTTGGCCCGGACTGATTGGTTGGTTGGATGGCTGGTAAATAAGCTAAATAATATTTATAGGACAAAAATTAAAATATTAGTTTATTGAAATTTATTTATTTATAAACTTTATTTGTTGAAAATTTTCATTGAGGTACATTTCTTTCTTCCAAATCATCCACAATGCTCACAATAACAATTCAACATGAATGAGTTTCTACCTTCATTTGAAAATCAGTTCATACGGATCTTCCAGCATATAAAAAATTTATATAACACATAAAAAATGATTAACTAATTGGATGAAGAGAAGGCCAGAGAAAGAAAAATAGAGAATAAGAGAGAGAGAGAAAGAGAGAGAATTAGAAATAGGACAAGTAAAGAAAAAAAAAAGAAAACTGAAAAAAACAAAATGGGAGAAGAGAAAGTGAACAAAAAAAAGAAGATAAAAAGTGAAAAGAGAGAGAGAGAGTGAGTGAGTGAGTGAGTGAGTGAGTGAGTGAGTGAGTGAGTGAGTGATTGAGTGAGTGATTGAGTGAGTGAGTGAGTGAGTGAGTGAGTGAGTGAGTGAGTGAGTGAGTGAGTGAGTGAGTGAGTGAGTGAGTGAGTGAGTGAGTGAGTGAGTGAGTGAGTGAGTGAGTGAGTGAGTGAGTGAGTGAGTGAGTGAGTGAGTGAGTGAGTGAGTGAGTGAGTGAGTGAGTGAGTGAGTGAGTGAGTGAGTGAGTGAGTGAGTGAGTGAGTGAGTGAGTGAGTGAGTGAGTGAGTGAGTGAGAGATCAACGGCATAAACAAACATGTAAGCATGGAGCAGTCGACATAAACAATACATAATCTGACAATCTTCCTGTAATCCATACATGATGCACAAATAATTATACTATACATGCATTCACTTATCTATTCATTCATTCGTTCATTCATTCATACATACACAAATAAATTTATTCATACATACATACAATCATTTATTTATACATTAAGTTTCTTTCAACGTTCACTCATTCAATCCGGAATAAATAAATGCATTCAAAGAAGAACTTGTGTGCGAATGAGTTTGTGCAACTATAGAGAGTACAATACTAATGCAGAATATACCCTCCCCCATTTGCCACACAGTACCTACCTACCCACCTACCCACCTATCTACCTACCTTGCCACATCATAAAGCACTCTCCACAAACCCACATAAAGCATTCTTTACAATGTCAACCTATACTCGTACGTTAATGACAAATGCAACTTTACAACACAGAACGTAAAAGTATTGTCATTACAAGAAGTTATAAGACAATTGTTGTTATTTGTAAATAAATGGAAAGAAAATGGTTAAAATCAAATGAAACGCCGACTAACACACAAACAAGCAAATGTGCAAGCAGATGAACAAACAAACAGAAAACAAACTAACACTCAAACAAACAAACTAACAGATGAACAAACAAACAATCAATCGTGGCGTTAGTTTACGCTAATGTTCTTCTCTCCCCAGTCCATCGCATATTCATGACGTTCAAACTCGCGCCAATAACTCGCTTCCTTTACAATTTATGATCTTTAGTTTGTCGAATGTTTCCGGTCTGACGCAAAAGATGGCCGCCCTACTTCCGGCTATCTATGCTTTGATAAAGTGCGCTGTACTCTCTCTTTCGCAGAGAAGAAGCTCATGATGATGGTGGTGATAATAATGGTTATGATGATGATGATGGTGTTGGTGATGATGATGATGATGATGGTGGTGGTGGTAGTGGTGATGACGATAATGATGGTGATGATAATGACGATAATGATGGCGATGATGAGTTTAATGATGGTCATAATAAAGAAAAAAATATTTCAAAAGACAAAATTTAAGTAATAAAAATTATAAAATACATTTTCCTACGCTCATGATAGCAATGACGCAATGAAAACGACGACGACGATGATGATGATGATAACGATGGGTGATAGTAATAGTGACTATGACGATGATTATGAGAATGATGATGATGATGAGGAGAAAGAGGATGATGATGATGAAGATGATGAGGATGCTGGGTGATAATTTATAGGATTTCCTCATGGTGAAAAAGTCGTTGACGAGGGTGCTTTTCCAACGTATGGTAAATCTTATTTCTCATTATCATCATCATCATTATTATCATCACATCAACAACAACATCAACAACAACATCAACAACAACAATATCATCATCAACAACAACCACAACAACATCAACAACAACAATATCATCATCAACAATAACATTAACATCATCAACAACAACATCAACAGCAATGTCAAAAACATCATCATCATCAACAACAACATCATCAACAACAACATCATCAACAACAACAACATCAACAACAACATCAACAACATCATCAACAACGTCAACAACATTATCAACAACAACATCAACAACAACAACAGGACTTGTAATTGCAGTCATCATTGGCATCTTCGTTGGTTCGCTGTGTGGTTTCATCCTTCTAGCTCTCGTGCTCTGGTGCCGAAGGTTTGAGGATAGAAATAATTTTTCAACTTATTTAATTTTATTATTTCTTCATTATTTAATTAATCAAAATTCAATTTTTGTATATTATACTATAATTTAAAAAAATCAAGTAGTAACGCAATATTAAACAAAGAATCACATACATTATACAAATGTTAAAACACATAAAACCGTAACACATAACAAATAATACCCCAACAAACACATAAACAATACACAAACAAGTACACATACACGTTCAAATACACGTACACATACAAATACACATACAAGTACACATACAAATACACATAGAAACAATAACACAAACAGCAAAACACATGCACTGAACCCACTTCGTCTCATTCTTTATTCTCCGTTGGATTAATTTATTCAAGTTTGTTGCACTCATTGCGGGCAAGCAGGCAGGCACTCGATCCATTGGCTGAAATAAAATTAAATAAATAAATTTGCTGTACGGTAAAAATATTTTTAAAGAGAACAGATACGCACTGAATTCATACATTCATTCATTCACTGAATTCATACATTCATTCGTATGCACCTACACGCACATCTGCGCGTACGTAAACCTGCGTACACTAATCAGAATACGCAGTTTACATTTGTAAGTACAGACCATTATTTGTTGAGTTTGAAGATCACACGTACGTTTAAAAACAATCAATCCAGATCGACCTCGACATCCACATCAACTTCCGGCTTTTTTCCCGGATCTGCCATCGCCTGTCCGTACGATCGGGATCTGAGCGAGGCGGTGACGTCACTGGCCGACGTGGTGGACGATGCGGGCAGCAACGTCTGCAAGCTGCACCGACTACCAACAGGCGAATACGGATATGCGCACGTCTGGAAGGTGCACAACACGCAACTCCCCATCGCAAACAACCAACAAAAATCAGCTGCAACTCCCCAACATCGCCGACAGGAACTGCAACAGATGGAAATGTTGAGCAACAGTCAGCAACATTTAAACAGAAATTTAAATGTGACGAACGAACTCGTCAACACGTGTTGCAATGCGTTTTACGCGCCTAAAACAACGGACGATATCGCTTTACAGCGGCAAAATAATCAACAACAGCAACTGAATATTTACGATCATTATCAACAAAATTCGACCAACCAATCAATTGTTGAGAACGATGTGAGTTGTAATTATATAGCGGAACAACAACAGCACCAGCAATATCAGCAGCAAATCGTTCAACAACAACAACAGCAAACATGCAAATTCAACAACATCATAGACAACAACAACATTGAAATGGAATGTCCCCTGTTCAACGAACGTGGCCTAAACAATAGCAACATCATCATCAACAACAACAACAGCAACAACATCGACAACGACAACAATAACAACAACATCGTGACAGCTGTTGACAAAGCCAATAAAAGTTTGTCAACATTCAAACCTAATGCAGTTGATCTTGTTTCTGGAGTTAAACCAACGACAGCAGTGATTAAATCAACAACAAATCATCAACAACAACAACATAATCACTATCATCATCATTTTCCGCATCAGCAAGAATTAATCAATAACTACATGTGATATACTTATTTGATGTCATCGTCGTAGTCACCGTCATCATCATCATCATTTTCTTCTTCTTCTTTTTCTTTTTCTTCTCACTGTTGTTACTCTCATGATGGTTTCATAATATAGAATTAAATCGTTTATGTCATCATCATTCTCATCGTTGTCATCATCAATTTATTATCATTTTCATACCTATAATGTACAGTATCGTCAGCATCATTAGCGTAGCACGGTCATCGCTATCAGCACTGCCATCATCATTATCAGCACTGCCATCGTCATCATTCTCACCACCATCATCATCACTGTGATCCTCATTATCATCGTCATCGTCGCCGCGATCGTTACGACAACAATCAATGCGTTTATCTTGGCGGATAGCAATGATCTGATTGAGTTTAAACGCGTTAATCCCAATCGTATATTCCATTCATTTTAACACGATTACTTCTCTATCGCTGCTACCACTACTACTGCTACTACTGTTGCTACCACTACTACTGCTACTATTACTTCTGCTGCAGCTGCTGTTGCTACTACTGCTACTACTGTTAGTACTTTTTTCAACTATCTTTTACTTATTTTACTATCCTTCATTTACTAGCCCTGTTACTTTAACCGTTGTCAACGTTAATGTTACTTGTTTGTTTAGTACTTGGTTTATAGATGCATAATACAATTTTTAATTATTATTACAAAAATACGTTATTATTTGTATTATTATGACTAATTTAGGTTATCATTTTTATTATTACAACTATTTCATGCTATAACTTTGTTTAAAACTTTGCATCAGTTTATCATTTTTCTCTAATATTATTTTTAGAAGCTCGTCAACGCAAAAACAGTTCATCACACATAGTTGGGAAGATAATTTTCTGAGATAAGACGCAATCTATTTATCCGAAATAGATTTTCATTTTTTATTAACAATAAGAAATAATGATTTCGCTATGTTAATTAGTTATAAATATAAATATTTATATAATATACTTATATATATATATATAATATATTTGTATATATATACATATATATATATATATATACTTTTATATATGTGCATATATATATATTTATTTATATATTACATATACTAACACTATTGTATACAGTGTATCGGAATCGACTTCCCAACTCAGCCGAATTCCAGAAAATTTTTAAACATTTGCATCGTAAATTCACCTTATTGTTACTACTAGATAAAAAATACTTTTAAAAACATTTAAAAGCAATCAATGTAATTGATTTTATGTTTTATGAAAATTATTTTATGTTTTACAACATACTGAAAAAAAATTATGTGATTTTATTCACATTATTAGCCCATATTTCCAGTATTTAAGATGATTGCTTATCACTACAAATATTAATCCTTTTTAAAATGAATAACACCGAAAAAAGATCCGACTCCAACTCAGACTAAAACCTCCAACTCCAACACTCTGATTGTATATAACACTTATTAATGCACTGTTTTATAAATAAATATTTCCTTACAATGCATTTATATATATGTATATATATATATTAACTGATTCATCAATTCATTTTGTTCATCCATTCATGCATTCTTTCGTTCATTGGCTTTAACAATCTTAAGCTTACCATCTAATTAATAATATAATTAAAGTTTATCAGCTGATTATTAATATAGCTGTCATTAATAACTTGAGAATTTGTTATCAGAATGCCAAAGCGTCAAATCTGATTATGAAGAACAACTCCACAACATTCAACCCTGGAAAGAAATCACCTAATATACGAGTTTAAATGCCCTCTTGACGGATGCACTCGTCAGCCACACCCATACATTGGAGTGACAAGTACATTTCTATCACGTCACCTTACTATGCACAAAAGAGAAGGGGCCATTAGAACTCACCTGGGTACGAAACATGAAACGATCTCATGACGAGAGATATTAGTAAACAATACCAAGTATAATATACGCTAACAAGAACCACAGCCATCTAAGAATTTCTGAAGTGACCGAAGAAAACCGATAATTAACAAGTAGCAAAGAATAGCAACCTCATTACCGACAGAAGAATATTATTGAAAGATTTTACAAGCAAAGAGAGAATGAGCAGGACCAAGATATAATAAACGGACATAACGAAGCAGAATAAAAGACAATTTGCACACTCAGAAAATTTTAAAACCTGGAAATATCCATATATGAGCGCTGATGATGAGTAAAATCGGACTATAGCCTATACGCTTCACCAAGGACACCAACGATTTCCTTATTAACTTCATTAAATTGGATAATAATTATAAAATTACTGTTGAAAATATTGAAAAGCTCGGCCGTCAAAAGCTGAAAATTCGTCAAATTCGATCAAATATTGCGTCAATTAAAGGTCTCCTTCCAGCCTTTACGATATATATATATATATATATATATAGAGAGAGAGAGAGAGAGAGAGATATATATATATATATATATTTATATAATATATAATATATATATATGCACGATTTTTATTATTATTTTTATTGTTATTATTATTATTATCGTCATTATTATTACTTTTATTTTCTGCTAATAACATCCATCTATCCGTGTACGATTTGATTTCTGCAAATCATTTTCTTTTCAAATGAATGAAAATAAATAAGCAAAAAACCTACCTGTTTGTTATTAATTCTTTATTATTATTATTTTCATTTAATGTTTTTATTATTATTTCTTGTTATTATTATCTGTTGTTGTTATTATTATTCCCATTATTTTGATTACGTATAAAGACAGAAGAAAATTAATTAAATTAAACCTCAGTCGATAAATAAACTATCATACATTAAATTAAAAGAAAAACTCGTCAGCGTATAAATGGTCGAATTTATAAAATTTAATTATCTATAAAATAATAATAATAATAACAATAATAATAGATTTAATTATAATAAACGCTAGTTGATTCGTATAAACAAAACTGTATCTCCTTGACTACAGCAATAAATTATTATTATTATTTTTTGTTTTGAGTTAATATTGTTATTGTTCTTCTTCTTCTCATTATTATTATTGTTATTATTCTTCTTGTTGTTGTTGTTGTTGCTATTTTTATTATTATTATTGTTTTGCTGTTGATGTTGGCTTTTCTAGTTTATTTATTGCCCTTATCTTATCGTTATTATTTTTTTATTCGATTATATATCCGTTAAATCGAATTAAATCAGAAAAATATTTTCTCGCGGTGGGCAGAATAAATTAATAAATAATAATTTTATTCGCACTTGAACCTTCTTTCTTTCTTTTTATTTACCCACTCACTCACTCGTCTCAACTTTCGTAAGAATCGTCTGGTGAGAATCACAACTCAATTATCGATGAATTTTCGCTAATTATTAATTATTGAGTAAATATACTAATTACTTTATGACATTATTTTTTTGGAATAAGTATGGAACCGGCTGAAGAAAAGACCTTGATTATCAGTCATCAGTCAAGTTCGGCTGAAAAATCCGGTAAGAGCAACTCAGTCTTCAGAAGTGATCGCGCAAATTTACTCGACAACTGGCTGAAAAAGGTCGAATCATTTTCGTCGTTATCAAAAATTTCATCACGCACGCTTTCGTTATCATCACTGGTAATCGTTGTTATCAGTGATATCATCATCATCATTAGCGAGAATATCATTGTTATGAACATTATCACAGCATATGTCATCGTCATCAACAACATCATACAACTATCACCAATATCATCATCATACAACTATCACCACTATCATCATCATCATCATTGCCTTCATCATTACAATCCTCATCATTCCTATCATCATCGTCATCATCATCTTCATCACTATGAGCAGACGAGCAAAAATGGGTCAGTGAAGTTAGTGAATGATGACGTTTTGATGGCTAACGTTCTCGAAATAACTGGATCGTGCTCGGGGTTTGTATAACATCGTCATCGTCATCGTCGTCGTCGTCATCATCATCACCGTCGTCGTCATCATCATCGTCATCATCATTGTTATTTTCATCATCATTGTCGTTATCATCATCGTCATTTTCATCATCGTCAACATTGACATAATCATAATATTTTTTCATGACCGTCATCCTATTTTTTTCCTAAACATAATCCCAGACTTTACACTCGTTCACCATACCACATTTTTCCTCACTTACTCGGTCACTCACTCATTCACTTATATGAAGCGCTTACATTCACTACACGAATCCCGACATGGACGCCAGCAATCTGGCCACCGCTCCCTACTTGTGCCTCATTCTTAGGAACATTAAAAAACATTTCTCCCTGGAAGTCTGCGTTAGTTTCCATTACGATGATGATGATGACGATGATGATGATGACGATAGTGGTACGGATTTGAGAATAATTGATGATGATGAAAAATTTTAAAAATTGATCGTAAGTTAAAAGATTGAACAGTTTTTGAAAGTTTGTCTAATCGCCCAGATGAACAGCGTAACACCGTTTTAGGTAGGATATAAATTATAAAGGACACATGGGACAAAATAAGTTCTCGTAAAAAACCATGCTAAAGACGGCATAATTAAATCTCGAATTTACAGAATAGAAAATGCGCTCAATTCAGAAACTTAAAAAAGTCGTTAATAAATATATATCAAATTGACGTTCGAAAGTATCAAGTATTAATTCTACTTAAGAAATATCGGCGGTACCAAGTTAGATACTCGGCGATACCGAGTATTGCCAATACAACAGCCTAATACTGCAAAAGTATCGCTGATATAACATCGACGATGGCGATACTTCGATCGATGTTAACAATCCTGACCTACTACTAATAATTGTTATTGACGGAGTAATAAATTATTTAATACTGCAGCTGGTAATGTTGCATTTATCATTATCATTTATTAACATATTATTATTTTTTAATATTATTATTATCGTCTCCATCAGTTTGTGGACGATATGAACCTAAGAAGACGCATTCGAATGGACACGACTGCCGAACAGCCATCCCTCAAGAACTTCCTGGCCACTCTACCGCTCAAACTAACAGACGTTAATATGATGATACTTCATTCACTCATTTCATCAAATTTCCTGCGGTAGATCTCTTATAAATCATTATACACAAATGAAAACACAATTATCATCATGATGTTATCTCCAAACAGTTATCTCACTTATAATTGATAAGATTATCATTCATTATTATCTCTATGTAAGCTTCAATGTAGCCAACAGCACGAACGAATCGGCTGTTGTGAAGATGAACTCGTTTTGACAATGATAACAATGATCAAAGCCAATTTTAAATAACGATAAATCCAAAAACCGGCTATATGAGGATTATAATATTTATAAATAATATTTGTATAATCGTTGACGATGCTGAAAGAGCCGTTGAGACCAAGTCTAACATCATTTCACTTAGTAAAGAATCATTTAAAAAGTAAAGTAACAATGCGTTTCGTTCTATCGTAATTATTAATTATTGCACTACACCAGTAAAATATTCCCAATCAAAAGACCATTACAACTAAACAGGATTGGAACTACCTATGCCTTGACATGGAGAGTCTGGCCGCCACATTATTCAGGGCTAAATACGTGCGAACTCTCAAAATTAGAGTTAGGAATTTGTGAATTTGTAATACAACGCGAATGCCATATTTTAAAAATTAGAAACAAAACTAAAAACTCACGATAATATCAACAGATGTTCATAACCAACTTCCACAGATTTACCCAAACTGCAGGCTGTATAGGATTTATTTCAACAAAACCGAATGCGTAGGCGAAAATATCATCATCTGATCGAAGTACAGTGACCAAAATGTGTCCATAATCCATGAAAAAACTGACCAAACATTCTTGACAGATCTATTTTTAACGACTATGACCCGTTTTGTATTTGGCTTTCAACAATTATTTTGCAACGATCTTTTCTGAAATCACATTTTTTGCCATAACCCCTTTTTTTAAAAAAATGATTAATTACACTTAAGTTTATATCCAGGCCTATAATATACACCAATGAATTTGTACACGGTATATATAGAGGTATCTATCTAACACTTGTTCTACAGAACGTTAATAATTTTTAATGAAAACTTCAATTTTAAAACGAGGAAAACAACAATGGTAATAGTAATAATAACAATAATAATAATAATAATAATAATAATAATAATAATAATAATAATAATAGACAAACAAATGTTCATTCAAGTAGAGATAATTTAATTAAAAATCGCAACAAAATTCTTAAGGGCTATTGTCTGAAAGATACAATCATCATCTCCAAAATCTTCATCATTTTATCATCATCATCATCATCAACAACAACAACATAAACACAGTATGCCGATATCGAGGTCATCATCATCATCATCATCGTCATCATTAATATATTTCATCATCATCAATTCCATCGTCATCATCATCATCATCATCATCAAACTCAACTTGTAACCACAAACATTCAACGACAGAACTAACGAAAATTAGCACAGATAGTTTTTCTTAATATCAAAAAATATTTACAAGTCTTATACTACATGAGTGTACAGCTAACTTTATAAAACAAATGCAAACATTCATACAAACAAACAAAGAGACAAACAAGCAGACAAACAGGCAAACATACATTAAAGTAGACAAATAAACAAACATACAACATAAATAACACAAACACAAATGTTCAAACATCAGCTCAACACAGAGGCACCAGTTTTGTGAACCACAAATGATAACAGAAAGAATTACAGTATAAAGGTACATCATAAAAGAATTTCAATAACAAATAAGAACAAGCAGAGAATGTAGAGAAAAGGAAGAGAACAAATAAAGAAAAGGTAAGAATAAGGGAGAAAGAGAGAGATTGAGAAATATTAGCAGAGTTCGATGTCAAATAGGTCGCAGACACCTTCGCTGTCAGACATCTTGAAGTAGTAGTCCTTATCCGATGGTGGTGGACTCAGTCGAAGTGGTGACTGTGAAAACACTGCAAGTAGAATAGATGACACTGATCATGTCATGATGATGACGACGACGACGATGAAGATGACGGCAATGATGTCAACCATGATAATGATATCGATGATGATGATGATGATAATGATTATGAAGATGATATTTATAGTGGCAATGGTGACAATAATGATGGTGATGACATTTTAAATCAAAAATAATAAAAGGATGAAAAAAAAAAGAAATAAACATACTGTCTGAATTAAAAACCTCATCCAAATCCACATCTTTATCTGAAAGCAACAAAGAAAAAAATACTACCAATGCTGATAAAGTACTGTGTATAAGGTAAAATACTGCTACTAACAAATAACTCCAGTACTACTGCTATAGTATAAACCCGACTAGTACTATAATTAGTATTAATGCTACGAATATACTGCAACCAATGTTACTACTGCCTCCTCTACTACTACTACTACTACGGATACAAACCATTGAATGTATTATTTGGAAAGAACTGATTGATGGCGTAGTTGACAAAATCTTCATTGTTTTCATTTTTGACATCAGCTGAAATTTATATAAGATAAAATTTATCATTAAATTGACAATCCTACTGCATGCTCATAGTGACTATGCGCCGGAGATTGTATTAATAATATATTCCAGTTGTTCATCCTTATATATCTGCATAAATTGTTCATCCTTATATATCTGCATAAATGGTTTGGTGAAGAGGTAGGTATGAAGCTACGTATTAATCTGTTCTGAAATTGTAGAGAATATACCGTGTAGATATTTATCACTGAAAAATCATACAAACAACATATTAGAAAGTTATCAATGTAGCTAGAGAAATTACAAAAACAATCCTGCGCTACATTAAAAATGACTAACTAATATTATCGGTAACAAAATCATTGTCATTGCAAATGGCAGATGTGGACGGAACCATATTGTTGTTGTTGCTGCTGCCTACATTGCTGCTACCACAAGTTTTGTTGTTGTTGTTGTAAGCAACGACATTAACAACATTTTTATTAACAATGTTGCTGTACTTTCTAGGTGAAGATCTTGTGATCATTCTGAATGCTGGTGTCGATGTTGGTGTCGTTGCGATGTTGTTGCTGGTGGTGCGGAATGAATCAGGCTGTTGATGTCTTGGAGTTGTCGTTGCTGCTGTTGTCGTTGTTGGGGTCAGTGCAGGAAGAAGGATGGACTGCTGTGTGACAGGAAGTATTGGTGTGTCCATTTTTAAACGTTTGGCAGATGGCTTGCAAGCTGTTGACTGCAAATTGAATAAATTATAAATTATTATTGTAACACCTTACACTTAAAAATAAACAACAAACCCTACAATTTACCAGCAGGCATCAAGCTTGGGCCAAACAACAACAAATTAACAACACTCAAAAAGGTTTAATACTTGATTATATACAGATTAAAATTAGAAAGTGCCATGTACCCTGGTATTGCTCTTATCTGAAAGTTGTTGTTGTTTTTGTAATAATTGTTGCTGCTGTTGTTGAACTTGTTGTTTTGGAATATTTTGTTGGTAGTGTGTTGCAGATTGATTGATTGATTGATTACAACTTGATGCAGAACTGGCCAAGGCCTGGTCAGTTGGAAGGCTGCTGTTGCTGTTGTTGGGAGGAACCTGAACAACGACAGGGTCACTATTTTCAGAATCTTTGTTCAGTAATAGGACGTTGATTGGCCCGTTGACACTCTTGATTGTCATCTTGTATTTGTCTTGCTGATTATTCTATATGTAATGGAAACTATTTAGTCGAGATGTTGCTCAGTTATATTGAATGAATGGTTGGAAAAATTAATTTTTCAAATTTTAAATTAAGATTTAAATGATGTAAAAAAATGAAGAATTGAGAAGCTATGAAACGAACATCAGTCGGAACAGCTGCAACGAGTTGTGTGCCATTAGGAGCCTTGATTGTTAGGATGGTCAGGTCTTTCAGGCATTTGCATATGTCATCATCTTTCAAGTAATTCCGTCTTGGGGTTTGTAAAATATACATGTAAGTGCTCTTAATAATTATATATCAAGCTGTCAGTTGTTGTTATTATTAACAACCCAAGATTACATAATAACAAATCTTTAATTTCACGCAACAACGCAATAGAATCTTTAACTGAATCTACTTTTGGCTTTCATGTTCATCTGTAACATTTAAGAGACTTTGCTCTATGCACGATTTCAGTCTGTCCAAATCTTCTTCGTAACTCAGCATCTTTGATATTTGGTCCTTCTTGCTGTTGATGCGGCTCTGATAGTCTGCATGATTGCTATTCAATCTTAGTGCTCCCCTTGAATTAAACATTTTTTGAATGATAAATGACAAATCATTTTTGTTTACACTGCTCAAGTTTATATATAGTGTTAATTGTTAATGGCTAATAAATAATAATACATTATTTATATTAGTTTTAAATAAATATTCAACTGCAGACCTATACTACTTTCACACTAACTTCCATTGTATGCTATTTTTGGATCTTTTTTCAATCAAACCGATGCCTTCCAACACATTTGTAATGTCATAAATTCTCCTTTTTTGTCTGACGGCCAGATGATCAGCAGCCTATTAAAAATTTCATGCCAAAAATTAAAATTAGGCAGCGAAAACTTATTGCATTCTATAAAAAATAATAAACAACGAACCATTTTTAAATCTAATATCCCATCTTCAGCTGACTCTAACAAGCTGACAAATTTTGTAGTTAGGAGTCCTAGACTCTTTTCATGCCTACTAGGGGTATATGGTATTTCGGCAAAATCGGACATTTTATATTCTAATAAAAAATTTTAAACTTTAACAAACAATAAATAAAAATGAACATAAGGAAAATTGTAAATATTGACGCAAAGTATTATAAATTTGAAGAGAAAATATTGTAAATTTAAAAATCTCAAGCATGCGCACTATCGAGCAAGTTTTTCAGGGATGAGCTGGGATATAATTTTTTCACTTATTTTTCGATGTTGAAATGCCAGGATTACAAGTTATATGGTCGAGGAACATTTTATATACCAATATTTTATTACAGTCAATTAAAAACAGTACAAATGAAAATTTTATTAGCATTTCTTGATGTGGTTTGTATTTATATGATTGTTTAATATTAAGATTAATTATATCGTTCATTCGGATATATTCAGATATTTATGTGGATTTATTGATAAAAAAACATGCACATTATTCGACATTATTCTAGAAATTTTAGTTTAAAAGTCCATGTATGTATTATAATGTAACAAAATCTATAAAATTAAGTTGGAGACAGATGTATATATTGATGGTATATTGTTAGATAAGATGCACAGAGTGCAATAAAACACATAAATTAATATATAGAAATATTTTCAAAAATGAAAACGAAATGAACATGTGGACAAAGAATATACAAATGGAAATGAAAATAAAATAAAAATGTTGAACAAAAGATGACCGGCAGACAGACTGAACAGCTTGTAGTAGCATCGCATTGTAGGCATCAGCAGCGTGAGGCTCTTGTGTACGCGACACACGCGCGCGCACCGAGTCAATAATGTGTGGTATGTACGTCGGTACATGCATGCTCTATGTACATTGTCCTATTTCATGAATCATTCGTTCATTCAGATATATTCAAATGAATGTCGCTTCCACAGAAATATGCTTGCGGTTTGCCTCGTTTTTTTAATTTTAAAATGTATTAATTTGGATATTTCGTTATTTTAACTTTTGAATTATTAAATTATTGAATAGTGTGGGGTTTTATAAGCCTTTGTAAACATTGCCCTTCTTTGCAAAGAGTTATTTTCGTTGATTCGAACGTTGAATTCACTACTGACTGATAGACGCAATAAATTATGGATATCGATAACATGATCATTAAAACATTCAGTGACAATCAAGGTATTTATTATCCAATTGTGTGTCAGAGGGAGGCGAAAAATTTTGTCAAATTGATGATAAAAAATGGGATAAGTAATTTAACGATGAGTGAAGAGATTGGTGAACCTGAGGTAACATTCACTTCATGGAAGAACGGACTGAACAAATCAAGCGTCGGTAGAAAGGTAATAAAACGAATAAACAAACCTTTAGAAAAATATCTTTGGACGGATAGCGAACTGAATGAGTTGGAAAATGAACTGAAAATTGAAATTGAAAAAATAAAACGTACAAAAGCAAAAAAGACAAGAATTCAACTAAAAATTGAACTTGGCAGATCGCCTACGAGCAAAACTCCAATTGAAAAATCGGCTCTCAGAGAAAGACGTTTAAGTTCAAAGAACAAAAATCAAAACGCTCATTATTACATGAGTTTCGATGAGTCGAAGAGAACATTCAACCAGTTGTGTCAAAGTCAAACGAACGTCAAAAACATTTCGTCCAGAAGCGATTTCGATAAGAAAACAGAAAGTTTATCGTTAAGACTGTGTCAGAGAGGTATTTCCTGGTCTGGACCTGAAAGTGAAAACGCGAGAAGTAATGCTGAAAGTAATTCAGAAATCTTTGAAAATTTTAAAACTATAAAACTAAGAAAAGTCGGCCGACCCGATCTTTATGAGAGCAGCAACGATAACAACAACAACAGCGATACAAATGTTAACAGTAATAACGATAATGATAGCAACAGTAATAATAAAGCTGACAACAGTAACAACTGCAATGACACTAACAACCAAAAGTCAGACAAATATGGTGAAGGTGACATAATTTCAGAGACCGATGAAACGATGGAGAACACTGCAACAGACGTGGAAAATTCAATAGCGAACGAACCAGCAAACGACGCATCATCACCGAATTACGAGAACGACGATTGCACAACTCCAAAAGAGTTGGAACGACAAAGCAGTAGCGACGAGAGAGCCGACAATCCGACATGCAACGAATATTTGTACGTCTTCACTGATAGCAACAGCTGCAACAACTCTCCCATCAGATATCACAGGTTTAAAATCGGCCTGACCAATTGCCCTTATGACGAACTACAGAAGGCTTCTGAATTCAACCTCGACATTAAACTGGTTTCGGCGACAGCCGTCAAAAACTCCGGCGGCGTGTTTGAAAAAATTCAAAGTGAGTTGTTGGACTGCTTAATGAAGGGTAAGGACGGTTGGTACTGTTGCTCGCTTGATAAAGTTCTGCAAGTGACTGGTGAAGCCATAACATGGTCATCTTCATCAACGTCCTAATCAAATCAAACTGCTGCTGTGCTGCTGAACATAACTGGATATTTGCATTGATGTCACTACGTTGTTCTTGTTGTTTTTACGTTTATATAGATTTAGATCTCAACTTTTCATTGAACCTTCATTGATTTTACATTTTACAATGCACGAGAATAGTTTTCAAATCGTCGTTGATTTAAATTTTTACGATGTTTCAAAACATGTGTTGTTTGTTGCGTTATGTTTTTCATGGGTAATTTGTGTTATTTTCTGTATTTGTTGTAATAAAAATTGATTTATTAAGATGTCTTGATTGAGTTTGAAACAAAACTAAACGTGTATAAAATCCCAAACCATTCCTAAACACACGTGTATTATAGTTGTCGTCATAGTTACGACAAAGTGTTTCGTACGCTTTCAAACGAAAATATTTTGAGTAGTGGAGAACATGGTGAGATATATGTATGAGCAATATATCAAAAGAATAAACGCGGTAAGTTAAGTTGAAATTTTAGAAATTACTTGAAATGGAGAAACCTTCCACTAGCACAGCACATTTGAGCTACGTTTTCGGCTTAAAAAGCAACGTTAACAACAACATACTCTTCCTAGATGATCAGACCATCATCTACCCGTACGCAACTCAGTGCATTATTTACAATTTAGATCAGAAATCACAAAAATACCTCACGATATCCGAGAAGAACAGAGGAGTGTCTGCTCTCGCCATAAGTCCCAATAAGTAACACAAATTTATGGACTATTTTGATTAAATAAAAAAATTAAAATAAATAAATAACTATTTATTTGACAAAATTATAAATTTTAATTCAAATAATGTTGAACACAGTAGTTTCAAACAACGTATTAAAAATTTGTTACTCATGTAAAGACGTTACCTAGCAGTGGCGGAGAGAGGCGGTGCCGACAAACCTCTAGTATCAATCTATGATTTGGGAGTTCTGCGCAAGAGAAAAGCATTGATAGCTCCCAACAACGATCCAAACACTGTATCAAAAGAATATGTTAACTTGGCATTTTCGTACGACTGCAAATACTTTGCAGCCCAGTTGGGCAGCTCTGATTGGGTACTTCAGTTGTGGCTTTGGGAAAAAGCCAAGTTGGAAAGTTCAGTGAGGGTGACCAACGCACAGCAAACAGCCATCGCCGTCTTTCAAGTCAGTTTGTTCTAACCCTGAACAAATATAATTTAGTCTGAGAAATAGCTTTTCAAAAATCTCATCAAACAAATTTTAATGGTCACTAAAAAATTTTAATTTTTTTTTGCTAGGTAGCTTTCAATCCACTGGACAATTCAAGATTGAGTGTTGTTGGGTTTGGGCATGTTAAATTTTACAAATTTTATGATGGGAATTTAAAGCAGACAACATCCTTAAAACTTGATAACGTTAATTACTGTTGCCAGGTTGGTCGAATTATCATCCTCTATAGTGTCTTGTAATTATAATTTATGGTTCTTAATGATAGTTTAATGGCTTGAAAGTCAGGTTCTATGCTGAAGTGACCTGGTTCAACTGCAGATTGGCCCCCGTATGTAATAGGCTTGAACGTTTTACGGGATGTTTTTTTCATTAGTTTATGTATGCTTGAAACATCATGTGATAGGTGATATTTCTTTTAACAACAACGATGTGTTATTGAAACTAGGTAACAAACAACTGTTGAATGGTTGAATAATAAATAAAATTTTGATAAATGAAACAAATAACTTGCCAAAATAATTTCAGAGCTGGCTTCCAGATGACAGATTGGTGGTTGGTTCAGAAAAAGGAGTTTTGTTGTTTTTTGAAATGGAAGAGTTCAAACACGAAATAAACGTAGCAGAACTTGTCGAGAAAGATTTAAAGTTTAAAGAAACTTTAAAAACTGAAAAACCAAGAAGCAGGTGCAATAAATTAAGTTACGATTTCAATACGAACTTTTAAACAATCGTAAATATTTCATTTATTCATATTTTTATTCGCATGTTTTAACCGAACGAGTAGTAAAAAGTTGGAGATGGATACAGCGACGGATAGCATTGCTCCATCCATCAACAATCTTTCCATGCTGTCGAAAGGTTTCGCGTGCTCCTTGCTGGATGGCTCCGTTCACGTTTTTGACAAAGGAGATGCTTTCGTATATAAGAGGACCAAGGAAATCAGAGTAGGAAAATGTTCAGTCATTTTTATTAATTAGATTTTATTAATACAAAATTAATTATTAAAATATTTAATGTTTATTTTCACAGATGCCAAAAATATCAGAAAATAGTTTTGTAAAGAGGCAGCAGTTGTTGAACAGTTTCGTGGTCAGTCCGAATGAAGAGTTGCTGATTTGCAGCACGATTCAAAACCAAATCTACCAAGTTGCTCTCAACGGCTCTATCAATGTTGAAAAAGTGTGGCAACTAATATTTATTTTACTTTTTACTACTTTTTATTGGAAAAGTTTGCTGAGCTAAACATTTTGTTTGAACATAGATAGAAAGGTTGCTGTTTGAGTCGTTAACTCACACGTTCCACTGCAATGAAGTGCAAGGAATTGACGTCTGCCCTAAGAAATCCTTGGTGGCCTCATGCTCAAATGACCAGTCCATCAAGATTTGGGACTACGATAAGAAGTTGGTGGGGCTGTTCTTTAGTTTTTATTACTTTCCAATTAATGAGCCAATGTTTGATCGTATGGAATGTCAAACCATTGCTGTCGATTTTGTGGGTTTTTCAAAATACATTTCGGTATCTTAAGTCATTTAAATCAATTAAATACTATATTCAAAAGTTTAATGATTCATTCATTACTATTTTTACCAAATCAAACCATCTGTCAATCGTTCAATCATTGAATCAGTCAATTGGAAATATCGAAAGAGTTTCCATTCGAGATCCTGAGTGTGTCCATGCACCCGAGTGGTCATTACCTCATCGCCGGCTTCTCAGACAGGTTGAGGTACTTGGCCGTTCTCGTCAACGACCTCAAAATCATCAAAGAAATTCCCGTAAAGGCCTCTTACAAGGTTTCAAAATGTGTTGCTGATGAACGTGGAAATTTTTTTTAAATTAAAGAAAAAATTTTAACAGAGTTTAACGTCTTCAAATAAAATTTTGCTCTAATAAAGAATACTAATATTTTAAAATACATTAAACTAACACTAGTAAATTTGTTGTTAATTGAGTAAAATTACTGCAACTTTCACTATCCTCTTTTGATAAACTAGCACCAACAAAACTATGATGACATGACATACGTAATTACTACTGAAATATGATGATATGTATTGCTACTACAAGACTGCACGCCTTAAGTATTGTTACTATAGTATTACTACTGTATCAAACTCCGTTTGACCAGTGCTCCTTCAGTAACGGAGGTCACCTGTTCGCGGCCACAAACGGCAACATCATTTCCATCTACTCCGCCATGCTGCAAGAAAATGTCGTCAACTTCACTGGCCATAATATGAAGATTAGGAACTTTGCGTGGAGTAAGGACGATTCCAAGATGGCCTCCTGTGCTGACGTCATCTACGAGTGGGATGTTAGTTGTTATACTCTGTGTGTTTTGTTGTTTGTGTGTGTGTGTGAGAGAGAGAGAGAGAGAGAGAAAAAGAGAGAGAAAAGGAGAGAGGAAAAAGAAAGAGAAGTTACAATCAAATTAAATGGATATTGCACAACTGCAAAATATCCAATGAACGCAGGTGCTAACAGGCAGACGTTTAGGCGAGGTAATAACGAAGATGGTTGCCTACAATGACATTGCCTATGCCCCTGACGGAAAGTCAATTTTGGTAGTTGGGTCCGACATGAAGGTCAAGGAAATTGTTGACTACCAGGTAGGATGTGATGTTGCGTGTGTTTGTTGGCGCTGTTTTTGCATGTCCATACGTTGCGTTTTTTGTTACGTAACGCAGTTTTTTTTAGATAAAAACAAATGTATACAAAATTTAGAAGAAGGATTATTTTCGAAATGCATACTTGTATATTGAATAGTAGAAGTTCATTAATACAACAACATCGTCGATCAGATCACGAGGTCGATCGAACCAATCAACCAGCCAATCACTTCCCTTGTGATACACAATCGTCTGCTGTTCGTATCAACTGCCTCTGGTACTCTGGGAATTGTGAGGTACCCGCTGGCTGAGGGCACCTCATGCACCGTCTACACGGCGCATGAAAGCAACATTACCGGGGTTTGAAATGTTGTGCTTTGTGCTGATTTTTGTTTAACGATCAGAGGTTATTAGTTGAAATAAAATTTATTTTCGTAGTAATACTATCAAACAACAACTTCAGCAAATATAAAAAACAAATGGTAATTTAAATTTCCAACCACCGCAACCACAACGACCACTAGATGCGACTTGCAGCAGACGAGCAGCATCTGATAACATGCTCGTTAGATGGTGGCGTGCTCGTGTGGCGGGTCGATGGGGACGGGGTCGCTGGAGGGATGGCCAGGGGCGTCAAAAAAGACGTAGCATACTCAGAAGAGGTGCTCGTTGACAGGATGGACTACGAAGAACTGGTTAGCTGGTTGGTTGGTTTGTTGAATGGTTGGTTGGTTGGTTGGTTGGTTGGTTGGATGGTTGGTTGGCTGGTTGGTTAGTTGGTCTGTTGGTTGGCTGGTTGGATGATTGATTGGCTGGTCTGTTGGTTGGTTGGCCTGTAGGTTAGTCTGTTGGTTGGTTACTTAGTTGATCATCACTAGCACAATTTTATCATCCCAAACACCATTAAGATCATCATCAACGCAAACTTCATCATAACATCATCACTATCACATTTGTGTGGTCAGGCCAGACTAAAAAAATATAAAAAAATTATTTCGATCATTCTTCTGACATTTATTTCTTACGAAGATTACGAAGAATTTTACTTCGTTTCGTCACAGAATTCCTCTCTAGAAGACCTGAGAAAAAGATTATTAGACTTGAAAGCAGGGAATGACTATCAGCTGCGAATGTTGGAAGCTGGAAACCAAGAGAAGATCAACGACCTTACTGAGAAGTACCTCCAGGAAATGAATAATCTGAAGAACAAAATTCAAGTGAGTGTTGTAATGATGATGATGTTGTTGATGATGACAATGACGATGATGATGATGAAGATGATGATGCTTGTGAGAATTACGATACAGATGATAATAAAATACATGATGAGTCGTAGTAATTCTTTTAAAAAAAAACGAAACTTACAGAATCAGAAACAGGAAAGAGAGAAATTTGAGAAAAGAATAAAGGATGAACTGAAAGAACTGATCGATCGACACGAGGAAGAGACGAGGGACATGGAGCAGCGCAACAACCAGAAACTGATGACGGAGTACGAGAAGTACCAGGAGCTACAGAACAAGAGCCAGCGAATGCAAGAGGAGTACGAGCGTAAAATATTCAGCATCGAAAAAGACCGCGAAAAACGTCTGCACGAACTGACCGAGTACCACGAAGAGAAATTAAAAAATATGGCGATCGAGATTGAAAAGTTGGAGAGAAAGTGTGAGATGTTGATAAGAGAGCGGGAGGAGATGGTGACGCAAATTGAAGAGGATGCTGATAGAGAGATTGTGGCCGTGAAGACGAAACTTCAGTCGAATGTCAAAGAAAAAGTTGCTGCTGTCGATAAAATGAAAGGTTGTTCGCTGATTGGTGGTCATGATATGCGTAAAAGAATATGATTGGCTGGCTGGTTGCAACCATTAAATTATTAAGGATATGATTCGTTGATTGCTTGGATATAATAATGAAAAATTAATTTTCGATTTAATCATAAAAAGTTGTTTGATAATGTTAATCTTAAAATAATTATAATGTTATATGCTTCCAATGTGATGCCTCGTTTAGCATGTATTCATGTATTCACTCATGATATCTGTGTGTGTGTCGTTGAATCCTCTGAACATACAAAGAACGTAATAGACCTTTAACCTTTGACCTTTTTCATCCACAAATTGTCCCAACGTAGGTCAGGTCAGTGTGATGACGAAGAAGTTTCTGAGCATGCAGAAGGAGATGGATGCCAACAAGGAACTCATTGATAAAGGTCTTCAATTATTCTGATGCTCTCTTCCTCATTAAGTTTCTACTGAGAATTGTTTAGTGAATTTATTGATGACATTTTGATTCTAACTAAAATAGCAAATTAAAACCCTTTAAAAAGATTTGCAAATAAATTTTAGAAGTTTTCAAGTTCATAATTTATTACGTTAAATATCGCTTACTTATATGATTTTCAACCATAGGAAAATCAGAGATTTCAAACTTGAATGGTACGATAACGAACCTGGAAAAAACAATCACTGGTTTAAAACGGGAGATCCAGGAAAGAGATGACGCTATCCTCGATAAGGTGGGTGGGATTATTCGTCTCCTTAAGCCATCTCAATGATTATGCCCACAACTAAATTTGCATATTTGTTAACATGTCTGTACATTTTTTTCAAACTTCTTAAATACATCCAACTGAATGTGATTTTTGGGATTAAATTTTTACGGTTCAAAACTATTTTTAAAGTTAAGTCATTCTATGACTTATAAGAATTCGTTAAAAACCATGATAACATAATAAAATATTCATATATGCTATATATAGAAAGTTATGAAAGAGATGTTAATCTTTAAATTTTTCACTTAAATTAGGAGAAAAGAATTTACGAATTGAAAAAGTTGAACGAGGAGGCGGAGAAGTTTAAATTCGTCCTCGACTATCGCATACACGAACTCAAAAACCAAGTTCAACCGAAGGATGACGAGATCGAAACCAAAAAGGACATCATGAACAATGTTGGTGATGATGATGAAGGCGATGATGATTTTGATGGTGATATTATTGGTATGATGACGCTGATGACGCTGATGACGATATGAGTATGATATCAATGTAGACGGAGACGAAGATGCCAATTAATTTTACGTAGTTAAGAGGTGTCCTGGGGCACTTAATGATGACGTCGTAAGGGACGTAAGTTTATTGAAATTTTTCAAATTTTCTTTACTAAACAGTTTAATGTCGTTAAGATAAGGAATAAACTGTCAACCGATAGATGGAGCTGGAGCTGGGCAGGTACCAAAAAGTAACCACACAGTTGGAAACCAACTTGGATAATGCCAAACAGAGGCTCTCTGCTGCCGAAAAGGAACTGCAGAAAGAAAGACAGAAGGTTAATGAAAGTCATGCAAAATAGATTGGATGAATAAATGAAACAAAGAACAAATGAACAAACGAACGAACAAAAACGAATCAATGCAGGTTCACGCTGTTGAGATGAAAGTTCAGTCATTCAAGACGGATCTGCACAACTGTGTGGGCTACATACAAGACTACAAGTTACTCAAAAGTACAATCAGAGCCATGTACTTGAAACATGTGCAAGACGATATGGTATACTCTCGGTTCATTGGCTTTATTTCATTGATTAATATTTTTCCGGATTGGTCCAGACGACGTTCTGTAAAATTAATCATCTAATTCTACCAATATAGCGAGATTACGTAAGTGAAGATGCCGATAAGAAGAATGACTTCGCCCGTCAGAGAGATCACCTAGAAAAGACCATGGTATCTCTCGTTAAGAAGCATCAGAGGGAATCTAACGTTCAAAAAACTGATAACTTACGAATTATGCAGGTCTTTTACCTCATTTGTTTCATTACCTTTCGAAGTTTTTAACATATTTGAAGATTAACAATTGTTTTAAAATTATTTTCAAATATAGGACAACATCAATCTAATCAAAGAAGTGAACGAACTACGAAGGGAACTGCAGATATCAAACGTGAAAATTCACGATTTGGAAGTAGCCGCCAAGATAAGATTGCGCAAAAACGCGAACGCATCTCTGACAGCTGCCACTGCAAGCAATGATATCTACAAAATTGGAACTTCTGCTGATGAATACAAAAATGCAGACGAGGCAACATTGAGGATGGAAATGATGGAGAAGAACAAGTTGCTGGAGTTGCAGCAGGAAGAAATGAAGAAGCTGAGGAATATTCTTCAACAAATTGAACTCGGCCACAATAGCAGACCATCATCTGGTCAGAAATTATCACCCATCAACGGTGATAAAAATTAAAAATGATTATATGCTATTGCTTATTCATTACTTATTCATTACTTATATGAAAATGTTGTTAATAAACGTGTTATATAGAATTGCATTGAATTTGTTATTTAACTCATGACCTAGACAAGTGATGTTGTATATGTGAGAAAGAAATTATTTATTAATATATATATATCTATCTTTTGGTGTTATTTTTCAGAATGTATGTATATGGGTATATGGCTCTTAAAAATCATAAAATTTCTTATCTCATGCCAGCTAAACCTTCGTTAATTTTTGAACATGACTTGCTTGTTTACTTTTTCTTTGCCGATTTGCTGATTTATTTAGGCATTATCTATAGACATTTTCCTCGAACAAAACAAAAACGAATAATAATTAATAGTATTTTTAAAAAAATACGCCAAATTCTGTTGAATATTTAAAAAAAAACAACCTCAAAATGTCTCCGCCGGATTCATCAAAGATTTCCAAAGTTGTCGTCCACCCGTTGGTTCTTTTGAGCGTTGTCGATCATTTCAATAGGATGGGCAAAGTAGGAAACGTAAAGCGGGTTGTTGGTGTTTTGCTGGGGGCCAATCGCCAGGGAGTGCTCGATGTCTCTAACAGTTTCGCTGGTAAAACAAATTTTATTTTTAAATCACAGAATTTTGTTATGAATTGTTTTTATTTATTATTATTTTACTAAAATAAAATTTTATTTATTTAAATTTTGGTTTTTTTAGGTTACTTTATTTTATTGTTCTATTCACTCTTTAACATTTTGATATCCCAGTACCTTTTGACGAGGATCCCAAAGAGCAGGATGTGTGGTTCCTTGATCATGATTATTTAGAAAACATGTACAGCATGTTTAAAAAAGTAAATGGTTAGTTCAGTTCTGTAATTAAATTTAAATAACTTAAAAATTTAATTCATATTTTAATTCCTTTTACTCATTATTCTGTTATCAATTAATTTGATTTATTAATTTTAAAATGCTTTACATTTTTAATCTAAGCACGTGAAAAGATAATAGGCTGGTATCATACTGGCCCCAAACTCCAGCAGAATGATGTCATCATTAATGAATTGATTAGAAAATATGTGACCAATTCTGTAAGTATTGATTCATTTGTTTGGAGATGTTCATATCTTTTTTTTATCCTTTTTTCAAGTTGTTCATTAATCGTTTATTTATTTATTCCATATTATAGATAATAATAATTTCATATTTTATTTTGAAAATTCTAGGTACTTGTGATAATAGATGCCAAACCAAACCAGGTAGGACTGCCCACAGAAGCGTATTATGCTGTTGAAGAAGTTCACGATGTATAGTAGTCACTTTCATTAAATTCAAACTTATTATCTCACTCTTAATTAATTATATTAAATTATTAGTTTACATTATTTATCATTAAAATTTTATTAGCTAAATTATTAACAGACAGAAAATTTTACTAAAACTTCTCTTTGTTGTAATTAATTTATCAAACTATCATTAAATAAAATTAAGCATCAAATATCTTGCCTGCACTAATTTGTAGTTTTTATTTTTTGTGTATGCGGTGTATATTATATTTTATAAATTTTTATTATATATTAAATTATATTTTATTTATTATATAATTATTTTTATTTTTTTTATTTACAAATAATAATTTCAGGATGGTACCCCGGCTGCAAAAACATTCGAGCATGTGGCCAGCGAAATTGGTGCTGAAGAGGCAGAGGAAGTCGGTGTAGAACATCTGTTAAGGTGGTCATTATTGTTAAAAAAAATAAATGGGTGGTGAATGTTGAATATTAATATTTGTAATGTTAAATGGTAGGGATATAAAAGACACATCTGTGGGAACCTTGTCCCAACGGATAACCAATCAGCTGACTGGTCTCAGAGGTCTCAAGATGCAGTTGGGTGAAATCCACAGCTATCTTGAGAAGGTTTCTATCAATTATATAAAAATAATGTCATTTTATAATTTATTAATTTATTCCTAATAAATCTTAAATTTTATGGTAATTATTTAAATATTAAACGAATATTAAACGCTAACTGAAGATTGATTGATTGATTATTTAAATATTATGTTAATTCACTGTTTAGGTTTGTTCAGGCACGATGCCAATAAACCACCAGATCATATATTTGTTACAAGATGTCTTCAACTTACTGCCTGATATCAACTTACAGGTAAATGGTGATTTCAGTCATGCATTATTCAATTTAGAACAATATGAACCTGTGAAAGAGATTCTCTAATCAATTCATTGAAAATTACAATTTTATTATAACAATTTTTTTATTGCATTTTTTAGATTTGATAAGCCTGTTTATTGATTTGATAAAAATACGTGTATCTATTTTTTGACAGCCCTAAACACATGTTCCTATTATATTGGTTTGATGTATTTTCTTTTAAATACTTTTTATACAATATTTATAAAAAAAAATAATGTAAACCTAATTTTGATAACTACCAACAATCCACAATGAAATGATTTTCTGCACCAGTCATTCGTGAGGTCAGTGTATGTGACGACCAATGACCAGCTTCTCGTCGTCTACATATCTGCCCTCATCAGGTCCATCATTGCCCTCCACAATCTCATCAACAATAAGGTAGGTAGTGACTTTATCTTGTCCATTTTTTTCCAACTATTTGTTATTATTTAACAACACTTATGAATGTTTTATAGTAGAAATAAAAGATTTTTTTTATGTAATGATTTTAATTTTCTGGATCGTTTAAAGTTTCAAAATTTTGACAAAGCATTTTGAAATATTTTATCCAGGTGCAAAATAGAGATAGTGAAAAAAATGAGGGCGCCAAAGATTCGAAGGACAAAAAGAAAGACGATGACAAAAAAGGAGCCAAGAAAGATAAGAAGGATGAAAAGAAAGATGGCGCTAGTAAATCGGATGTCAAGAAAGAAACTGATACCAAAAAGAAATGACATTAAATTCCTTATACATACAACAATATTGTCCAATTATACGCTAGTTTCGTTGTTTGTTTATATGAAAATTAATAATCGTTCGTTTTATTGAAAAATAGGAAGTACTTTTTCTGATTATGCTCGGCCGAAGTATCGCTCGACTTAGGTGTATTTCAGTGGATCGGATGATTTTAGGTTTTACCATGTCGATTTGATATCTAAGTGTCTAGAATTGGTTTTTAATAATTTTTTTAATATTTTATGAGATAAAATGCACAAAATCTAGTTCATTACACGAGGAAGTAAACAAAGGTGAAAACGACAGTTTGAAATGAATCAGCTTAATTATTTTTTTTAAAAAAGCGCTACATCATTTAAACTTTTAGCTTGGTACATAGAGCGCATGTTTATGCGCTTGCTCAGTCGACTATAAACACTAACAAAAATAGAGGGAGATTGCATTTTATAATTTTATAATTCTGTATTTTCCAGTTAGGGTTTGCATTTTTTGGAATCTTCATTCGAAAATAAATATTTTGCAGTTTGTTGTATTGGTGTGAGGACTGTTTCGCGATTGTCTCCAAGGTGGACTGAATCTTTCACTAATTTTTCACTAATTGCAAATTCTGATATATATATTGTTTACTTTACTTTACACATCGTTTCTATCTGTGTGAAATCGTCTTTAAATTAAAATATTCCATTTTTAATCATTGTTTCCCGTTTGTCTGCAATATATTTAGTTTATCTTTGTTAATATTTGCAAAGAATGGACTCAAATGTGGAAGATAGTGTCACCCCTTCATTGTTGGCTACAGAGACTGAGGATAGAGCAAAACCAGCAGCTGATGATGCCACAGACTCCGTCACCCAGAATCTTCAGGAAGGATACAGTAAGTTCATTTTATTTTTCAACTAAATAACTTTACATTTGTACGGAAATTATTTTTTAGTCAGATGTTCTATATCATTTTATTTTCAAAACAACATAATAAACTAATTACTAAATTTAGTGTTTTTTCCTAATCAAATTCAGGTTGTTGTGAGTATTGCAGCTTCATTGGCCGTTCTGAAAGCTTTTTTTCAAAATCAAAAAGGTTCTGCAGCTGTGTCTGTTCAAGGAGTTACTCCTCATCTAAGAGAGACAAGTCTAATCACTCTCACAATTCCAGAAGTTTTGATAAGGTCGGTTGATGTTTAATGTAAATTATTCATAGAAGTGTAAAATAATTTTAATAATTTAAATAAAATAAAGAGTAAAATGTTTGCCTATAAACTAACTTTATAATCGTATCACTATAGAAAAGATTACTATTGGCAAAGAACATTAAAAAAAACAGTGGTATGATCGGCCGGGAGAATTCATTTACTACAAGAAGTGAAACAGGTATTGTTTCATAATTCTCATGTAATAATGTTTATATTCAATGTGTATCTGTTGTTATGCTTTTATGTTAGTTTAAAATTTGTAAAAAAAAGTTTTTACTTTTTCAGCGAACAAGTCGTTTGAGTGGGGACCATATTTGGATAAAGAGAATGCCATCGCTGCTCCTGTTTGCTGCTTCAAACATGTCAGAAACAATTTATTATTAATTTATTTGTGGTTGTGAATGATTGGCGTCTCTCTCTTCATTGGATATTTAATTTTTGCTGTTTCATTATTTTTAATTGATAGAATAATTATAATTATTATTTATGAATGGTCAGTGTTATTCAAATGATTTCTGGCAAAGCGTCATTATCAACATGAAAGTTGAGATCCTCAACTTAGACACCAACTACACTGAAGATAAGGCATACTGGTTTGCCACCATTAAACATGTAGCCGGTCAGTTATTATGATGATGAGGAAGATGATGAGGATGATGTTTATTTCTGTACAACTATGTTTCTGGCAGACTAGAGATGAAAGGGTCATATTATTTCAACCCCCACAGGCTACTTCGTGAAGGTGAGATTTGAAGGTTACGACGATGATGGCTCAAATGATTTGTGGGTGCACCTGTGCTCGGAGGCCGTCAACCCGGTTGGGTGGTGTGCCATTAACGGGAAGAGGATCATTCCACCCCTCTGTGAGTCTTGCTTGCATGCTTTTTTTTCAGTTTCTAATTTTATTAGGCAAATAATTTCCAAAATTGAAATTATCTTTTGTTTTGTCATTGTTTGTAAGATGTTGGATAAAAATAAGCAATGCCAATTAATAGTAACTGCTTGCTGACAGCGATCGAGTCAAAATACAATTGGAGAGAATACCTCCTCAACGCACTTACTGGAACATTCACTCTTCCTTACGACTTTCGACAGCGAGTCATCGACTGCAACAAATCCTGGCCGCTAGTGCCCGGTCTGCAAGTTGAAGTGGTCAACAAAATGTGCTTGTCCTCTACCAAGGTGGCCACCATCGAGGAGAACAAGGGTGGCCGCTTGAAACTGAGATACAATGATTCCGAGGTTAATTTCATATTTTGCTATAACTTTTCACTTTCTTGATTCGTTTTGTGTTAATTTTCTTGTAAAATAGAGTTAGCTTGTTAATTTATGGATCTGTGCATCAATTGAACAGGGCATCGACAGTTACTTCTGGTGCCACTGCCTCTCAAGTCTCATTCATCCTGTTGGCTGGTCGAGTCTGGTTGGCCACAACATCGAGGCTGGTGCCGGTTAGAAGATAGTCAACTATTTTGTTGCATTTGGTTATTGTTTACTCAATAAATTGATATTTAATTGGATGGTAATTTTGTTGATATTTCATTCAATTACTTTGATATTGATTTTTTTGCTGACACCATCTCTCCATTCAGAGTACAAGGCAGCTTCCTTGAGCAAGGCAACGTTCAATCAGTACCATGCAAAAGATGCAACACCCAGCATGTTCTGCAAGGTATGTTTAACGGGAATGTGCTAATATATTCAATCACTGTTGCATCAGTATATCATCATCATCTATTTTTGTCCTCAATGTTCTTGTCACCATCAACTTATTTGCTCTAAGTTATTTTCATTCTGGGTATGTTTTCTTACTTTATATACCTTAGGCACCAGACTCATACAACCTAGTTAAACAAATCATACAACAGATGGCAGAGAAGTGCAGACTAACAAACCAGCAGGCCCTACCACCAGCACCTAAATCACCTCCACCACCAATATCTCCCCCGCCATCTGGTGTGGCTGCCCAACTGTTCAGTCACCTTGCATCTCGTCAGCAGCAGCAGCAGTCCAGATTCGTTCCTGGCATGAAGTTGGAAGCTGTTGATCCTCTTAATTTGGGCTCAATATGTGCTGCCACTGTCGATAAGGTGAGTGCATTGGATTGGGTTGATAATGAATGCTCTCTCTGGTTGATAATGTGCCTATTCTGATATGATCTTTTAAAGTCAAATTTGTTGAATGTATGTTAAGTCCTGTAAGTATCATATATGAATAATTGAAAACACTTTAATGATGGTGACAGCGTTGTTTTAGTGGTAAAAATGTTACCCTCTGCTTTTTTTGCTACGAGTAGGTTTTGAAGTTTGACAAGATAATGGTGAGTATAGACGGCGCTGCTGACACATCGCCAACATCTACGACCCAAGCGACGACAAAGTTTCACAACAGCAGCCACACCAACTCTCAGCAACAATTACAGAACAATAGTTTTTGCTTTGACGCCAGGTCGCCTTATATACTTCCAGTTGGATTTTGCAAGATCAATAATATTGAGTTGACTCCGCCCAGAGGTGGGTTATGATTGCTAATCAGCTCTTCCATTGATTTCTTTAGTAACTTCTTATAAGTTTAGTTGTTTGGCCTTGCAATCTTTTTTGGCTGTATTCATTTGTGAAATAATTGGCTTGTTTTATTGTTTGAGTTTTTGCATTTTCGTTCACAAATCGCCATATTTTGCATTCTGCAAGATTATTTCTTTCAATCTAATGACAAATCTAAAAAACAAAAACATAAAAAATTCACACAAAACGAAATTACTTCCTCGTGAAACTGCAAAAACATTACCACTACTGACTATTTCACCACTACCCATCACCCAATTCAGGTCACAAACTTCCATTCGACTGGTACGACTACCTACAAGAGACCCGATCTGTGGCAGCCCCAGTCGAACTTTTCAACCAGACCGTACCCAAACATGGCTACAGGGTTGGCATGAAAGTTGAAGCTGTAGATCTCATGGACCCCAAGTAATCCGCTCTAACTATTAATTAATTATAGTTGATTAATTAATTAATTCTTATGTAGATTGTTAATTCTGAATGTGTTATTGCTTTATCATTGTCGTCGTCATCTTCAACGCTTTCATCACCATTGTTACTATCATCAGTTTATCATCATTATTGCCAGGCTGATATGTGTAGCAACGATAACGACGATAGTTGGTCGACTGATGAAGATTCATTTCGACGGCTGGGAGGTCCTATACGACCAGTGGGTTGATTGCCAATCACCTGACATCTACCCGATTGGCTGGTGCCAACTTTTCAACCACAGACTCGAAGCACCGAGGATGTTCGGAGACGGTTTGTGATGGTGTTTTGGGATGTAGATATTGTTGGTGTGAGTGCGGATATTGGGATAATTTGGGATGTGGATATTGTTGGTGTAAGGCATGTTTGTTGTTAGTTCCACTGATGATCGTGCTGATTAATGATGGTGGCAGAAAAATATTAAGGTTTTAGTTTAGTTTATTTTCAGATATATATATATATATATATATATATATATATATATATGCATCGCTTATTTTTCAATTTGTTTGTAGATATCATATTGGTTGTAATTCTTGTTAATTCTTATTATTATTATTGTTAATTATAATTTTTATTATTATAGCCACTGGCGACCTGACGTACAATGGAGTTGTGAACGCCGGTAATAAGAAAACGAACAGAAGTCATCTGTTTAGGGGCGGGAGAAAACGTAAGTTAGTGAAGTCGGAAACTGAGGATGTTGAGAATGAGGATGTTTATGATGGTGCTGATGGTTTCAGAAGAGCAGTTATCGTCATAGAAATGTCGTAATTATCATTGTAAACATCACCTTAAACATCTTTACAATTTTGACGCCACGCAGGCAAGCGCATGAAGCAACAGAGTTGTGCACCTGTCGACGTCATCACCGGCTACGCCACCACCATATCAGCCGCAAACCTCGCGAATCGCATTGGAGTTGTTGCAGCTGCCGATGACGACGACGACGACGACGATGATAACGATTGCGGTGGCAATGTCTATGGCAGAAATTTAAAGAGAGGTTTTTGTTTTAGCCTCATATGTTTTAAACTCATCGACGTAGACTACGATCAAGACTTTAAAAATCTGTGATACGTCCGGTGTTGTTATATGGTGCAGAAACATGGCCAATGACAACCAAACTGGAACTACAACTTCAACGAACCGACATGAAAATGCTTCGATGGATGCAACGAATTAGTCTAAAGGACCACATCAAATCTACCGAAATCCTGCGTCGTGCTGGTTTAGATGATATAAAGGACGAATGCCGGCAACACCGTCTGCGGTGGTTTGGTCATGTCAAACGAAGTGGAAACAGTGCCATAACTTCTCTTGCAGATGTTGAAGTACCTGGCACACGTCCTAAAGGCCGTCCAAAGAAGTCCTGGTCGCAAACAATCGAGCAAGACATGAAAGCTCTAAATTTAAATGAAATGGATACAACTGATCGTCTAATTTGGCGCAAAAAGTTGATGGCAAAGAAAACAACGTCCTACCTCGGGAAACCGGGTCTCTGGACGCAAAACGAAGATTGATTGATTGATTTTGTTTTAGCCAGTTTCTCTATGTCCTTTTTTTTCAAACTTTTTAAAAATTTTATAAAATAGTCTTGAAATAATTTGAGCGATTCATAATAGTTATTGATGATTTGCAGTCAACATCCACATAACGTCATTGTAGTCACATTGCATCAACACCTTCACGTCGTTGTCATCATCATCATCATCATCCTCACATTTGATTGACAGCATCAACGAAACCATCCATCATGGGCAAGCAAGATCACATGAACGCGGGCTTCTTCTCAGAGTCCAGTCCGGTATACTCCCCATGTGAGGAATCCGACCTTGACCTTGACCTACAGAAACAGGCAGACGACGACGACCTCAATAAGAATTTCGCTTTTGATAAGAGCAGCGATAAAAATAGTAACAATAATAAAGATAATAGCAGTAACATTGGCGATGCTAAAAGTAGTAATAAGTTATTGTACACATCTATTAAAAACAGTTTAAGTTTCAAGTCAGATAGCAACGTCTCTCTTAAAAGTGATTTTTCGAACTCTGATCTAAAAAAAACGGTTGATGAAAAGTTATTAAATGACCATTTAAAAGTCATTTCCTCATAGCGTCTACGTCAGTTCCGGTAGTGGTGTCCTTGGTGTTATTATTATTAATATTATTGTGGTTATTATTATTATTATTATTACTAAGTGGAGTGATTGGTGAGAAGGTGTATGGGTTCTTCTTGTGCTTTTTTTGAACTGGAAATAAAATTAATAATGGCTGAATCATGTTTTGCTAGTTAGTTGGTTGATTGATTGACTGGTTGGTTGGTTTGTTGCTTGGTTGGTTGGTTGGCTGGTTGGTTGGGCAGCTTGTTGAAATCCTACATCACAAGACATTTCGATTTTAAAAAAACAATTGTGGAATAAACATTTGGTTTTTTCAGTTTTTGTTTTTCATATTTCGTTTTTTTTAAGAAAAAACTTGAATTTCATAAATGTATAATAAATTTATAATTTTTATAAAAGGTTTAATATACTTTTTGATGATTAAAATTTAGCAAACGATTCAATTACAAAAAGTTTTTTAATACAAAATTTGAGAAGTTTTCTTTTAATACAAAGTTTGTTTTAATTTATTTTCTGGCATTTGTATAATGTTGTTTCCATTGCTGACACAATCCATATGAAGAAAATTATAGCAATTATACAAAAAGATGAACCGGTATCATTAATATGATAACTTTATGTTAATTTTATGATAATGATATATCGATTTTAACTTAATTTTTTGGAAGAGATGATAATTTGAATAATTGGAATTTTTAGTAAACTGTATGTTGAATCTCTAAGGTAATTAAGATTTGAGTGCTAGATTTGGCGAGCTATTTTGTTTGCAATTAATGTATGTTGTATGCATGCGTGTGGGTATGTATGTAAATATGTGATGTTGTTATATTTAGTTGTGTGTGTTCGTCT